ACCTGGAGTGCTGGTATCTTCCCAGCCAGTGGCCAAGTAAACAGGGCGACACGAAAATAGGAAGTTTATCTACATTTTACTCTTTTGCAGAGACTCTTTTGCTGACAGTCCTAAAATCAGCCATGGTGAAGAGGGCTTTTCTGTGGAGAAACGGGTGCCACTTCACTCAGAGACCCTGGACACAGGTCAAATGACAGATGGGACCAGAAGCTCTCTCTCCAAGGGCCTCTGGAGCGTGACCTTGAGAAATGGCTCTGATTCCACTCTGGGCTTTACCACTCCCTTCCCAGAGACCTAAGGAGTCCTAGTCTCAGGGTAATCACAGCACACTGAGGGGCCCGAGGGGCCCATTCCTGTGGGAGGTGATGCACCTTCCTTCCACCCGCAGGCCTGAGGGCCCAGGCAAGACCATGGCTGCAAACTCTCCATCTGTTAGAGCCTCTGATCTGAGTCCTGGGCCCCGCCTCCTCTCCACCAAGAGGAAGGGCACTGCCACAAGCCCCAGTTTGTTTGGGGGACAAAAAGAGGAGCACCATTGGAGGATTATTAGCCTGGGAAAGTGGGTGGGTTTCTAGAGGAAGCAGTGTTGACTCTGAGGCCCACAGGAAGATCAGGAGTCCACACTGAATCAACAAATAGTGCCTGAGACCCGCTACACACCAAGACCTGCGGTTACCCGGGTTTGGGTTCCCGGAAGTGAGGAAAATGATCAGCGATGCTGTCCCTATCCCTGAGGCTTCCGTGTTACAGCAAAAGGTTAATGTGGGTAAGGAATGAGCCAGAAGAGAGAGGCGAGCTCCGCAGACCGGGAACAGCATGTGAAGAGGTCAGTTAGACAAAGAGCCGGGAACCCTCCAGGCAGTCTGATGAGCTCAGCAAGGCCAGAGGAGGCTGAGGGGCTGCTCTCCAGAGCCCCCTAGAAGCTTAAAATGCTCCAGCTCACCCCATAAAAGTTCTCTCCTTCCTCCCAGGGCGTTTCTCAAGGACTCTTCCTTGCTGGCACTTTCTTGGCCTGTCACCTTGCGTGGTATCAGCCATGGTATTTCCCATGCACTTGGTAGGTGTCGGCCAATTAGCAAGGCCTTCTGAATTTCACAGAGAGCCAATTGTCTCTTCTCTGAAAGTTCCCTGATGACTGTGACCATCAGTGCCCTCTGTGCTGGCAAGCCTGTGGTAGGGACAACTCCTGAGCAACAGTCCCTCCACACCTGTCCTGCTCACGCACCAGCTGAGGCTCCTGCACATCCAAGGGGCTGGCTGGTGGTCTAACCCCCACTCCACATGGATGAACTAGCTGAGGCCCCCAAAAGTGAAGGGCCTTTATTGTATTTGGAAAATGACAAACCCCAAAATAGTGTGGCCGGGGAAGAAGGAATGAGGGAGAAGGCAATACATTGATCCTTTCCCAATACATTCTTTCCCAGGGACAAGACAGGCCCCAGGGAGGAGATATCCATCAAGTCTGGAATGACAGTCTCTGGAAAGAAGCCAGAGCATTGATCCTTCCCTAAACAAATCCTTCCCCAGACCCTCCATCTGGCCCAGTAAAGACAAATCTCAGATACTGACCACTGGCCCCAGGCCCCCTCCATCTCACCCAGCAAAACAGATTCCAAATGCCTAAGTGCCTAAACTGACATGCTCATTAATTAAGTCACCTCTCAGTGTAACCTATGTAAGTGTAAACTCCCCATTTTGCCGGTGGCTTATTTTCCACCAGGAAAGTGGGTCCATCAGAGGCATGACTCCATTCCCGAATAAAGGCTTTTGCTGATCAGTGAAGTTTGAATCCAGCCCAGTCTTCTTGTGCTAACAGCCTTGACCAACTACTCTTGGTGGCAAAGCCAAGATGAGAATCCAAGCCTCTTGACTTCCAGTCTTCCCTCTTTTCCTACTGCCTCTCTCTGCCCCCTTTCTTCAGAGGCTCAGGACGCTGTTATGCTATTTCAGTAATAATAATAACAACAACGATGAATGCCAAGTTTCCAGTATTCTTCAGTGGCACACTATACTCCAAACTTGTATCCATTTTGTCTCATTTAATCCTCCTGTGGTGGCTGTCTTTAGGAATGGTCTCCCAACAATAGTTTCCCTCTCTGCCCCTGCTGCTCTTCATAGCAAAGATAAAACTCATTTCTCCTCCTCTTGAATCCTGGCTGGCCCTGAGAATTCTTTGACCAATGGAACAGAATGTGGTGGAAGGGAGATTCTGTGCTCTACAGAGCATTAGAGAGAGAGTGGATGAAATGGGGTGACCAGATCACCCCTAGAAGCACAATTTACATTTACAGAAAATGCACTGGTAATGGAGAACCTTTCAACTGCATGCTCAGATTCTGGTTTTCTGCCACTCTCTCTATAATGCTCACAAGATTCCAACAGGTGCTATTGTAAGAGAGCTTGTAGGAGCCATTTTTTGTTGATTTGTTTGTTTGTTTGTTTATCTTTTAATTTGTTTCTCTGTTCTTTGGCATTTGAAAGGGTTTTAACCACTGGGGCACAGGTACACACTCCTATAATCCCAGTGGCTTGGGAGGCTTTAAGGGAGGAGGATCATGAGTTCAAAGCCAGCCTCAGCAACTTAGTGAGGCCCTAAGTAACTCAGCAAGACCCTGTCTCTAAATAAAATACAAAAGAGAACTAGGGATATGTCTCAGTGGTTAAGCACCCCTGGATTTAATCTCTGGTACCAAAAAAAAGAAAAAGAAAGAAAGGGTTTTGACCAGTGTGGTACCAGCTTGCAATCATGGAAAGAATGTTAAAATAGCGCATTGAGGTTCTTGTTTTCATCCCCCTCTATAGAGTGCTCAGAGGGTGCCAATAGACAGTATTGTAAGAAGGTTTTTAGAGTAATGCTGAAATGGAGGTAACCAGAACTGTCCTAAAGTGGCACAAGCTTGAGTTCATAGAAAACATGTTGGTGATGGTGAACTTTTCCAACACCACACATAGGAATGTTTTTGCAACCACCCTCTTTATAGTACTGATGACAGGTGGTAGTACCTGGAGGAACCCAGAGGCCCCTGGCTATCACCCCAGCTGAACTCTCGGCCAGTGGACACCACCAAATGCCAACCATAAGAGTGAAGCTATTTTGGACCTTCAAACCATCCCAGAGCCCTAGCCAATCGTAGAAAGCCAACAAATCACCCATCAACCTACACAATCATGAAAAATATTGTTGTCTTAAGCCACCAAGCTTGGGGCTATTTTGTTATGTTGCAATAGCTAAGTGGAAGAAAAGTTGGTACCTGGTCGTGGGGTTCTGCTATAACAAAACCTAAAGCCTGTGGCATTGGCTCTGGGAGTTGGCATCAGGCTGAGCCTGAGTGTCCTCAGGAAGACAAGTCTAGCTAGAGTGTGGGGAAATTACCAATTAATCCTTGAAAAAAGGCCTAGGGATAGAAGCTGTTCCTTATGTTTATAGTTCCTATATGTTTGGTTCTCCGGGGTTTTTTTAATATTTATTTTTTAGCTTTAGGTGGACACAATATCTTTATTTTACATTTATGTGGTGCTGAGGATCTAACCCAGTGTCTCGTGCATGCTAGGCGAGCGCTCTACCACTGAGCAACAACCCCAGCTCTGTTCTGTTTTTTTCCAGTGGATCAAACTCAGGGGATCAAACTCAGGGCTTCATGCAAAGTAGGCTAGCACTTTGCCACTGAGCCAATCCTGTCCCCAGTTCTTATATTCTTTAGTGTTTGCTATGTATCAGCCAATGCCTCCAGTCCTCTAATATAACTCTTTATATTAACTTTCTCTATTCAATTATTATCCTTTGATTAGATCCTGACAGCTACATCTTGGCCCAAAAGCATCACTTGAGCTCCAAGCTGGTGACCAGAACCAAATCTAGTCCTATGGGTGAGGCCATTTTTGTCCTTCCAGCCATCCTAGCACCCCAAACAACATCACACGAAGGAGAAGCACACAGCACACAGACAGAGCCATGAGAAATGATAAAGTATCATGCCACGCCTCTCCATCTGCATGATTTGTTGTGTGGTTAGATGTCTGAAACTCTTCCCTCCAGCCCCCTAGGCATCATATCCACAAAGAAGCTTAAGCCCAGCGAGGATGACAGACATGACCACAATCACAGAACTAGCAGGTGGCTGGACCGGTGTTCAAACCAGGTCTGTATGAACCAAGCCCTTTCAAACACCTTGTCTCACTCAAAGAGCTGAGAGGGAACTCAGGAATACTGTCCACCCTCTGTCACTCTCCAGTCAGGAAACAGAAGGAAGATCAGAGTGGAAGCCATTTGCCCAAGTGACCCTTGTCACAGATGGCCATCAGAATTCTGAATTAGCATCTCAGTTCTCCTGACTTCCATCCCAGAGCTCTGGCTATCCCCCAACCCCCACCACCGCCCATGGCTCTCACGACTTCCCTTCCACTCTCTCCTTCACTCACACACATCCCCCAAGGAATGCCCTTGGGTGAGGGGACAGTATTGCCATAGTTGAGAACCTCTAGGACATATTTGGCCATATCTTGAGACATATTTGGTTGTCAGAATAGGGAACAGGGGAACACTGCCAGCGTCTAGTTCTAGAAGCCAGCAGGACCACAAAGTGAACAGGGCACCACGACCCCACCCCCAACAGAATTACGCAGCTTGCAATGTCAGTAGTGCTGCTGCAAGCAACCCTGGATTAGAGAAACCCACAGTCCCCTTGAGTCTTTGTTTTTCCCCAAGTGCCCAGTTTGCTTGCTCAAGACTAGCTGGACAGCACCTTCTGCAATCATGTTCACCTACTGAAAATACCTACGTGGATGGTGAAGTTCTGAGGAAATCTGTGGCAGGGTCCACCTATCAATCACAGCAAGGCCCACCTATCATAGCAGGGCCCACCTATTAATCCCAGCAAGTTCCACCTATCCATCACAGCAGGGCCTACCTATTAGGCACAGCAAGCCACACCTATCAATCACAGCAAGTCCCAGCTATTGTAGCAGGGCCCAGTCACTTCCAAGACAGCAGGTTTGATTCGCTACAATTAGTTTATTGGAGGCACAGAATGAGACAGACAAACGTGCAGGAAGGCAGCTGAGTCACTGGCTTTGTAGAAGTTTCTGCAGGCAGCCCAGGAAGGAGGTACTCTCCCTCCCTCCCTTGGCCAGGTCCCTCACAGAGTTACAGGAAAACCAGCAACAATGTTCATTCCCATTTGCATTTCCAGGTGAAAGCACCTGAGCAACCTCCTGGAAAGGGCAGAAAGGGAGATTCTGGGACCGGCCCTGTTCCTCCAAGCTCTGGAGAAGGGGGTCAGGCAGGACCAATGAATCCAGCAAAAAACAAACGGCGGAAGAAAAGGATGAATCCTTGGGACAACAAACTACTGGGAAAGGTTACAGAAAGAGACCAAGGCGCCGCCCCTGCCTCCCGGGGCTCAGGGCGCCCAGAGGGGAGCAGGCGGGGACTAAGTGTACGGTGTACACATCAGACAACCAACCGGCTCGGGGAGGCCGGCAGTGGGTGGTGCGTTCCGGTTGCGCGAGGTCCTGGCTGGGCAGAGGGTGACGGTGGCCTTCGATTGTAGCTTCCATTGTAGGTGGCCTCCTAGCACTTCCTACAGCCGCCGCTGCAGGCGCCGGCCCCGGCGCAGGGGGCGCAGGCGTTGGGGGTGCCCACCACCACGTTGCCGCTGCAGGGGGCGCTGCAAACTCTGGTGTTGACAGCAGGGGAAGTACCGGAGACACAAAGATCGCCACAGGCGACGCCACCGCGGGAGCTGCTGACGCCTGCATGGGGGAGAACAGGGAGTCACGCGTCAGGCACAGCTCCAGCCAGGTGGCTTTGCAGCGAGCGCGATGCCCCCTCCCCAAAGGTTCGGGCCTCCCTAGCTGGAGAAAGGGGAGGGCTCGGACTACTTACATACGTTCACGGCGCCAACGCCCTCACACAGCCTGTTGGGAGATGAAAAGTTGACAGGTCAGTACCGCAGGAAAGGCTCCGCGATCAGCAACCAGGTGCAAGGTGTGATTCGTGGGCCTCCCTTTGGGGACTTGCCAGGGGAAAGGAGTAAGAAACCAGCAAGGGGAGCCCCAGATCCCCGTCACCACGTGGGTGCTGGAGTCGGCCTGCAAGAACCTGCAGTCCACTGCCTGCTGCTTATTAACTATGCATTGTGAGTTTTAACCTTTCTGGGCCTAGGTTTCCTCATCAGGAAAATCGACTCCCATACATGCAAAGCTTAGTACCCAGCACGCAGTGAGCACTTAAGAACTCTTCCCTGCAGCAGTTTCTAGGTTCTGATTTTTGTAAATGTATTTGAGGGGGGGACAGACAACCTCCCACCCAAATAAACAATTATGGGACAAAACTCAAAGGAAAAGATTAAGCTCTAGTTCTGAGAGTCTCTCCTTAAGAGGCTGGAGCTGTAGAGCTGTCCTCTAGCCATGGGCAGTCTGAATGACCAAAGGATCTTTTCCCCTACCTCCATCCCCACCTCCAGGGCAGGCCAAAAACAAAACTCCTGAGAGTAAGTCAAACCTGCCACAAGGGACAGATCCTGCTCTTGGTCTACCTCAGCCCCAGGCTATAATGGAAGACCATTTTGGAGTATTTTATTATGATTACAGTAGGTAAGCAAAGTTTGAAGGGATTTCCTGCTGAAGCAGGCTTTAGGAAATAAATCAGAATTCCCAGGGCTAGGGCAAGAATTAGGCAGGACCAGGCTAGGTAAGAGCCGTAATCCTGAATGACACAAAAACCAGGACTGCGAAAGAGGGAGTGCCATTCAAGGAAGATGACCCGAGGATAAGTTAGACTCTCAGGAACAGACATCACCCTACATATACACAACTCTGAATTCAGATATATAAAAGTCGTCAATCCCATATCACAGCCTAGGTAAGCATGACATTCAGATGGGGCTAGATCACACTCAAAGGACTTACACAGGTTTCCTGTCCAGCTGCAGGTTGGTGAGGTGTGGTAACGGAGGTGGAGAGGTGCTGGGAGTGTGAGGGACATGGCATGCTGAGAGCCCAAGCATGATTGGGGGAGTAAAGAGTTATGGGACCCACCTCTGCTCCTCGCCCTCCAGCAGGCGCCTGTAGGTGGCGATCTCGATGTCCAGGCCCAGCTTGGAGTTCATCACCTCCTGGTACTCCTTGAGCAGGCAGGCCATGTCCTGCTTGGCCTTCTGCAGGGCGCCCTCCAGCTCAGCCAGCTTGCAGCGGGCGTCGCTCAGGGCCGCCTCACCCTGCTGCTCAGACTGGGTCACTGCCGTCTCCAGCTTGTTGTTCTAGAGACCCAGAGGAGAACAGGGGAGGTTATGGTCCCTGAGTGTGTGTATATGTCATTGCCTGGATGTACCCAGGGTCTCCTCACAGCTGGGAACAGCCCAGAAACAGGCCCTCTTGCCTTGTTCACCTGGATCACCCAGATTGACCACGCTGGGGACCTGGTCAGGCAGATGGGCTGCAGAATGAGTGGTGAGGCCCACATAGGGCACAGCCTGGCTGTGTGGCACTGGGCAGGGCCCAGCCCCCCTGCTGTTGGGCACAGAGAGCCATACCTGGCACTTGGCATTCTCAATCTCAGCCGTGAGCCTCTGGATGATGCGGTTCAGCTCGTTGATCTCCTCCCTGGTGCGGCGCAGGGTCTCCCCGTGCCTGATCACTGTGGCCTTCATCTCCTCGCACTGGGGGAGGCAGACATGCTCTGAGGCTCAGCATGGGCCACCCTGAGCCTGTGCAACCAGCCAGCCAGCCCTGCCCTGGCCCCAACCTCAGAGCTGTCTGTCCTCCCCTCACCACCTCAGGGCATCAGAGTCCCCAGGCAAAAGAGGCCTTGTTCATAGAGTACGCTTTCCCTCCCACTGCCCCATGCACAAGGCAGGGGTCCTGAGCCCCTCACCTTGCTGCGGTACCAGGACTCGGCCTCAGCGCGGCTGCGGTTGGCAATGTCATCATACTGAGCCTTGATCTCAGCCACGATGCAGTCCATGTTCAGGTCTCGGCTGTTGTCCATCTTGACGATGACTGAGGTGTCAGAGATGTGGGACTGGAGAATGCGGATCTCCTGCAGGAGGAGCATGGGGACATGTCAGAGGCTCCTTGAGACCAGAGCCCAACCCAGCACACCAGTGCCCAACTTCTCAGACTCCCTTGGCCCCCAGACTCTGCCTGATCACACAATCCAGCCTGGAGCCCCAGACACAAATCCCTGTCCACCCTTCCACCTCCCTCTAGCCCTCTGCCCAGCCTAGCGACCCTCACCTCCTCATACAGTCGCCTCAGGAAGTCGATCTCCTGGGTCAGCGCCTCTGCGTTGGCCTCCAGGTCTGACTTGCGCAGGTAGGCGCAGTCCACATCCTGGGAAGATGGGGGGTTGAGCTCAGAGGGTCCCTGAAGACTGTGCCTCCAAATTACTCTCTCCTCTTACCCCTTCCATTCACACCAGGGGAGAAGGATCCCTACTGTCTCTACCACCAAGCCATCTCCTGCCTTCTGACTCTCCCCAGATGCACCCAGCAACTTCCTCGACTGTGACAACAAACCTTTGGTGCCTTGGACATGGCCCACCTGCCTGGCAGGACCCCTCCCACCTCTCCTGTAGGAAGCTTGCCCAGGGGACCCCTCAGTTCTGCCACCTGGTCCTTCCCTAGCCCCCAGTAGTCTCCCAAGTAGCCCCCTGACCACTCCCGGTCCTACTGCATCATCCCTAGACTCTGGGGTCAGATCTTTGCTTTTGTCATCAGACTTTCAGCATGCCAACAGACCACACCACCCCCAACAGGCAGACTAAACTCCTGGACTCCAGGGGACCCCAGCCACAGACCTCCTAGGCACCCAGAGGTCAACACAGCCACCCCCTCGCCCCAGGGCAGGTGCGAGGGGTCATTTCCCTTGTCACAGCCCTAGGTGTGCCATTTGATGGTCTGCCTCTCTAGCAACTGCCCATCCTGATGTGGAGAGGTCACTGCACCCACCCTGAGGTTGAGCCCCCATGGTGACCCCAAAAGAGTCTGCCCCGAAATCCCCCATGGCTCTGCTTCCCTCAGCCATGCGACTCACCTTCTTCAGAGCCACAAACTCATTCTCAGCTGTGGCCCTCAGAGAAACTTCCTCCTCATACCTGAGATGGGAGAGAGGGGAGGTGAGGGCAGGGCAGTGTCCACAGACCCCACCCCACAGGCCAGCCAGGGGCTGGGGAGGGAAGCCCACACCGCTGGCCCCAGCCGCCCTGCCAAGTCCTTGCTGGTTGGAGTTGGGGTTTCTGGGATCCTCTCTCCACTCTGAGTTGGGGATGGAGAGGGCTCCTGTGGGACCTTCCAGTCCCAGTGCCAAGGCTGCACTGAGGTCCCCTCAGGAGGCAGAGAAGGGAGTGGACACTGTGGCCTCTGGGGTACTGCAGCCAGCACCCTCTGCCATGGTGTCAATCCTAGCTCTGCTGTGAGGTGTCATAGACCCAGAGGAACTCAGAACTGAGCACCAAGGCAGGGGGCCACCTAGTGTGGCCTCAGAGGATGAAAGGCTGAGGTGGGTGCAGAGCACTCCAGGCCTCAGGGCTGCTCTCAGGCAGGTGTGGACGGTCACAGCTCCATGAACAGGTCCTGCACTCCCTCAGTCTGCGCTGGGCCACACACCCTCCCTGGGCATTCTCATCATCTGTGCCAAGGGCTCTCCCAAAGCCAGTCTGTGCGGGAAGGGACACCAGAGCAGCCCCACTCACTTCTTCTTGTAGCCCTCCAGCACCTCCCGCACGTGGTTGAGCTCTGAGGCCAGTCTCCCGCTGTCGGCCTCTGCACACTCGGCCTCCCGCCTCAGGGTCTCGATGTAGCCCTCGAACAGGGGCTCCAGGTTGCTCTCGCAGCACTTGCGGTTCTGGTAGAACTGCAGCTTGGTCTCCAGCAGCTTGTTCTGCTGCTCCAGGAAGCGCACCTGCCATTCGGGGTGGTGGAGAGGATGGATCAGGGGTCAGCCAGCTCTTGGCATGGGGGTGATTGTTTGAAGGGGCCTCTGACCCTGGAGCTCACCAGAGGTCAGGCAGAGGTGGGCCCTGAGAACAGGACAACTTCTCCCTTTCCTGTTCCTGATCTGTGGTGGGAACCAGGGGCTGATGTGGATATGTGCCTGTTCTCATGTGAGCCCAGTTCCCCATCCAGATGGATCCAAGGGACAAATGTCAGGGGCCAGGTTCAGGGCTCAGCACCCCTACTCTGAAGGCAGTGAGGCTGGAGCTCTCAGCCAGCGCCCCACATTCAGACCCCATCATGGGGTTCTGGTGGTGGGCATCATAGAGCTGATGCCAGGCCATCTAGGACAGAGCTGGGCTATCCTGCCCTCCCCCACTTCCTCTGGCAGACATACCTCCCTGCCCCAGCATCCAGCCCTCAGCTGGGGCTGCCCAGTGCCCTAGACCAACAGCAGCTGCTGCATTCCTCCACAAGCTGAGTAGCTTGTACCTGAGCAGCCCGTCCTCTCTCTCTCTCTCTTTTTTTTTTTTACAATTGAGTCTTTCTGGCTCTGGAGTGCCTGCATAGGTCTGGAGTGCCTGTCTGTGTATGCCTCTCCCATCAGACTGTGATCTCGGTGAAACCGAACTCTTTCTGCCTCTGCCTCTCCCCTCAATGCCCAGGCCTGGCTGTGCACCTGTGTTAGGCATCAGGAAGGGTGCGATCCAGGACACCCACCTTGTCAATGAAGGCAGCGAACCTGCTGTTGAGACCCTTGATCTGCTCTTTCTCCTCGTGCTTCACGCACTGCGCGTTGGGGTCGATCTCCAGGTTGAGGGGCGTGAGCAGGCTCTCGTTGACGGACACGGAGGTGATGCAGGGTGGGCTGGGTCCGCACACGCCGCCAGAGCGGTAGCCAAAGCTGCGGCCGCAGGAGCCAGAGCGGAAGGCTCCGCAGACACTTTGGCTGCCGAAGCCTCCGGTGAGGCCGCGGTAGCAGGAGATGCCGCGGTAGGGGGCGGCGGTGATGCAGCAGCGGCCTGGCCGGGGCCCGCAGGCCGAGGCGCAGCTGAAGGCACGGCCACAGTAGGATCCACAAGTCATGGTGCTTTGGCGGGAGACGGGAGGCTCTGACGTTGGAGACGTCCAAATGGAGGGTGCAGTGGACGTGGATTCAATTGTTTGCCTTTTCCACCTCTGTTGGCCTTTTATATATCCGCGGAGCCTGGCTGACCACGTGGTTGGGGACTATTAGATGCCTTTATAGGCTTGGGTTGTTAAGCTACTGTGGCTCTCCCCTAAATGTGCTTAATTGGTGCCCATGTTTATGGTCCTTTGCCCTAAACTGCACAATTTTCTTCTTCAAAGGGCCAGCTCACCCCCACACGCACACCCCAGCCTTCTAATACACAGAAATTGAGAGGTTGAGAGACGTGGGGAGCACTGATTCAGGCTGGAAAGAGGGGCCAGGGTGGAGCTGGGGCTCAGATTAGCTGCTTTTTTTTTTGGGGGGGGGGGGGTAGTGAGGTCGGTGCCGCTGTCCATGGTGCTGATCTGACCGGCTCAGAAAGATTGGGCCAGCACATCAGATGATGTAGAACCTGGGGTGTGCTTGATGGTCTCCCTGACCCAGATGGTCCCTTTCTGCACCCCAAAATCCCCACATTTACAACAGTATCTAACTTAGTCTCTCACACAGGAACCCAACGCCTTCACACCTGCTCCCAAATCCTTCCCTATACCTGTCAAAACCTCTCTCTCCCCCCTCTCTCTCATCTCTCCCTTCCTTCCATCCTTCCCTCACCTCTCACTTCCCTCCCTCTCACTGTCTCTCCACTCACTGGCTGCCATCCCTCCACCTGTCCTCAGGTACTCATCTGCACCTTCGCTCATCCTCACAGGAACATACGTGTGTACAGGCTCTTAGGCCATCTGGCCAGTCTATGCCATAAGGAGGCATGCCTTCCCTTGGGGTCTTCCACAAGGTCTCGGGGGAACACAGTGGCTCACTGATCCCAGGAGTACCCAGTTATTTCCACCAAGGCTTCGAGCAATGACCAAATATCTACATTTCACTGCAGGCCTCTGTGTTTCCTCCAAGGTCTGAGTGAGCCCTACTTCTACATACCATTGCATACCATTGGCTCAGAATACTAAACCCCATAGAGCTATCTGGTCCAGCCCCCACCTCACTCCCTGAATCCTGCTACTCTCCATGTTCTGCCCTCCTGAATGCCCCTCCATGCACAGCAGTTTGTCATTAACCTTGACAGGTGTCAGAAGAGATCCAAATTGCTGCCCATCCAGTGTGGACCTGAACTTCCAATGACTGAGTAGGGGCCAAGGCACTTTCCTGACTAGCCCTGGGGGCAGGACAAGGAGTAAGTCACTTCACTCTTCTGGGAAGTGGGTTAAGGCTTTGCCATGCACTGGACATTTACAGAGATGTGTACATACTGTACAATTTTCTTTTTCTTCAGAGCACTATGCATATGGGTTTTTTTGTTTAAGAGGCAATTTGTGGGGCTGGGGTGTAGCTCAGTGATAGAGCACTTGCCTAACACATGTGAGACACTGGGTTCGATCCTCAGCACCACATAAAAATAAATAAATTAAATAAAGGTATGAAAAAGATGCAATTGGCTCTGGGGCAGTGTTTTGTTTGTCTTATTTATTTATTTATGTAGAGTTCATGTTGTGACCCACCAATGAGAGCAACCAGAATTTTATTTTAATGAACTAAATTTTTTATTTTAATGAACTAGATGAAACAACATCAAATAAAATAGAATAGAACAATATCAAAGTGCTTTATATTGCTTCCTGTGTAACTCTTGTTCCATAGTCTCTGGGTTTCAATTGTGTGTGTGTGTATGTGTGTGTGTGTGTACACTCAGTCACTGTGTAAATGAGGATAATAATAGTGCCCACCTCATAAAGTTGTTGTGGGGATGAAAGGAATCTGTCTGTGCAGAGCTCTTAGAACTGAGCCAAACGTACTCCAAGTGTGCAATCATTTTTGTTTTTGTTGCTGCTGCTGCTGCTGCTGCTGCTGCGGCCATGTTGGCATATTTGATGGATTCACCCACCCACATTCCTAAGCCATCTATGGTCAGTTAACATCAATGATGCCTGTTTTTAAGTACTAGTAAGAGGACTGAATGCAGTAATGTATGGGCGATGCTTAACACGACACCTGGCACAAAGAAAGTATTCAGTGAATATTGTCTACTGTCATTCTACCACTTGGGCCTGTCCAAGGGGCAGAAAAAACTGAAACCTTTTACTGTATTCATTTCCCATATCCTGGGAAAGAGCCCAAATGCCCCTCCTCCAATCCCCAGTCCAGACTGAATGCCTCAGTGAGGCCCTTTGAGAATTTATCACCCTAACCAAGAAAAAAATGTCATTCATCCCTGGACAACCACACTAGTCGAAAAGAAGTTTGGTTAATCTGAAAATCCAGTAATTGGTGAATAATTCATAGATTGTATTTATTATGTGACCTTAACTGACTATCAGCAAACCTCAGTCATGAATCAAAAATGTCATGCTCACTCATCTTGACCCCCAAACCTCCTGATCTGTGGGTAGCCAGGGGATACCAGGGGGCTGAGAGTGGAAGGTGCCCTTGATAATCCATCCAAGTATAATGAAACGCCAAGGAGAGCAGGAGAAGGTCAACTCCCACTGCAGCTGGACAAATGGAAGTTGGAGTTGAGGAAGAACTTCCGAGAAGCTCCAAAAAGAGTTTGTACTTAGGGAAACTTTCTATCAAAGAAAACATCCCTGCCGGGCTGGCCATCTTGTTGAAGAAGATATGTCAAACAAAAAAACCTTGCTATCTGGACATCAGTCCCTTCCTTCAGCCCAAGTGGACTTTGTGCCTGGAAAAAAAAAATGAGTAAAGTGGAGAATTTTTATCATTAGGAAGTCCTTGTTCAGAGCTCCCGTAAGTCCAGCCTTTCTAGTGCAGCCTGTTGTGAGGTGGATTCCCCAAAATGGAGGATTGCTAAGACCGGATGTCACCTTCCAGCTGGGGCATTCAGGGACTCGGTGTCTGATATGATATGGGGGCTATCATATGATATGATAGGCTGGATCCTATCTTAATTTGGGGGGGGAAGGAGGCAGTAAGGGAAGGAGGGAGATGCTCTGGGTCTGACAGGGAAGACAGACCCACATTCACAACAAAGGCCAAATGTCTGGAGAGGGCTGCTTTCAGATGTTCCACCAGATGTTAAGGAACTCAACGACTCTGCCTGTGTCCATTCAGGGACAGTGTAAAATGCAGCTGGTCTGACTGGAACAGCAGGGAGGGCTCCTGGGGAAGAGTGAGGACAGGCCTTGGTAAGGAGGCAGTCAAGACAGTGTTGGCAAAAGGGCGTGCACCGGCATACTTCAGAGACTGGGAGCAGGCGAGACCCGGCCAGGGGTGGATGGAAGGGGAGCCTGCAGGCCGGTTGCGGGAGTGGAGGGGGCCGAGAGGTACTGTGACAGAGGAGGCAGAGAGCTGTGAAGCAGGGCCAGTGTCATCCCTGAGACTGTTCTGAGACTGCCTGCTGTGAGGCAGCCTGTGGGCCCTACATCTGGAGGATACCAAAACATTTGCCTGCCAGGCTTGCTGGTGTCCAGGGGGCTGTGTCCTCTCTAACCTTGCAGTCTTGGCTGTCTGTGGGCAGGCCAAGTTCCAGTGAGGGACATTGAGGGGGTAGCAGAGTGGCTGTTTACAGAACAGCAGAGCTACCAAGCTGTCGCTGGGGGGTTCACCTCAAGTCTAGCCACTATGCAGGCAGTGGGTTAGTGAACTGGGGAGACATTCAAGGTAGAACCCTGCCTCCTCAGCCAGGAGAGCCCACCACACTGGCCAGTTATCCATCAGAACTCACCAGAGGAGAGTCCCATTGGATAAGGAGCAAAGGCCCTTGTAGGAAGCCTGGGTGGGGCTGGACACTGAGCTCTGCCTCCGAGAGCCCTCCCACCAACTAGGCCCAGCGCCTACCCCAGCCCTTGCCCCGGCCCTGCAGAGCTCACTGCTATAAATCTGGAGCTCAGGTTGCCCACCACTCCAGTAGGTCTGGATCTTGCCCTCCGTGCTGGGCCCCTTCCCTCCTCCTCCTCCCTTGCTTTTCCATCCCTGGAGTGTCCCCCTTTCTTCCATTATCCCCTGGATCTTCTCCCATTTTTCCTCCACGGCCCCCCAATCATCTCTCTCCCTCCCATTCTCCCCAACCACTCCCCACCACAGGCATCCTTTGTTTTTTTCCAAGTGACCCTTTAGAGTAACAGTCTAAGCATCTCCCCTCCATTTTCCCTAGAAAGCCTCTCTCCCCTCCATGCCTCTCTTTCCCTCCCCCAGCATATACCCCATCTCCACTCTGCCCAAGGCCTTCAGGATCCTTGCCTCCGTCAGCTGGCTCACTTTGTCCAAGGACACATCCCCACTCCCTTCACTCAAGTCCCAGCAAGGAACATCACCCCTCCCCATCCCCACTCCCAGGAATGGGCACCCTCTGCTCTGCTTCATTTGGTCCCCACCCCATCTGACCACAAAGCTTGACAAAATTGGCCACCAAACTTTGATGGCTCCATTACTCAGCACTTAATATGTAGCTAGTACATTTTAATCATTCAACAAATATTTACTGAATACCTACTATGTGCCAAGCCCTTGGAACATAAACAAAACTTTTGTACACATTGATGTGATGCAGTCTTTGCACTTCTGTCCAGGGTCTGGGCCCACATCCAGCTTTTTTTTTTTTTTTTCCTAACTGAAAGCTCATCAAGGACAAGGGTGAGTTCTCCTCCACCCTCTAGTCCTGAGTCCCAGTGGCACCCTGCAGGGCCTTGGAGACGGCACAGGAGAAGAGATGACTGAGTATGTGCTTGTGTGTTACACACAAACACCACCAAATGGGTGCTACAATTATTGATGGCAGGTGGCGGTCAGATAGAGGCACAATAGGACAAACTCATCCCTTCTACAGGGGTCCACAGCACCAGGCTGTGTCAGTTCTGTCTCAAACTCACAACCTGAGCAATTTTTCAACCTCCCCAGGCCTCAGTGTCTAAGAACACAGGTCTCAGGGGGTCATCAGTAAAAATCATGTAAGTCAAAACACATTGGGTTCTCAGAAACATATCTAGTATGGAGAATGATAAACATCTAGGATGATGATGATGATTTTGGTACTGAGGATTGAACCCAGAGGTACTACTGAGCCACATTCCCCAGCCCTTTTTAATATTTTATTTAGAGACAGGGTCTCACTGAGTTGCTTAGGGCCTCACTAAATTGCTGAGGCTGGCTTGGAATTCTCCTGCCTCAGCCTGAGCTACTGGGATTACAAGTGTGCACCACTGTGCCTGGTTTAGGTTGTTATTTTTTAAGTTTGGAAGAACATTCATAAAATAGCATTCTACTCTGAAGATATACTACTTCCACAATTTTAAAAAAAATGCACTCCAGAAAACCTCTCGCACAGATGCACCAGAAGACACAGAAAAGATTGTTGGTGCCAACTCTGCTCACCATACAGAACTCGGGAAACACCCATGAGCATATGGGGTAGAAAGGTGAATAACTCTGTTCTATTCGTACAATAAGTACTCCATGGAGAAAGCCGAGCCCTGCAGCCGCAGGAAGCAACCCTGAACAAAAGAAACCAGAATTGAAAGAAGACTGCAGCATGACTCCATTGATGTGAAGTTCAAAAACTGGGAAACAAAATAATACATCATTGAGGGATGCTTACATTGATTCTAAAACTATAAAGGAAAACAAGGGATAATTAAACACAAAGTCCAGGTGAGGGGTCACCCTAGCCAGGAAGGGGGAAAATACAAAAAGAATGGGGTATACTACATAGGAGGCTGCTAAGATTCCTGTATGTGGTTTCTTCCTATAGGGGCAGGTACACACCTCTACAGTCTCCTGTGTGTTGACATATGTCACAAAAATGATTTCATAAAATTAAATTTTATAAGAATAATTTTAACTTTCATAAAATACCTATACACTGCCAGAGATAAGAATGGTGAGTCTCTAACCCTCCCACCACCACCACCACGAGTTTTTCCACTTGAAGAAAACAGGTTTAATGGAAATTTTATGTCTTCAAAAATGAGCAGCAATCAATAATTTGTGAAGTTTTATGAAGTGGTGTCACATCTGAGTTTCTTCATATCTCGTTTGAAATTGTTTCTTGCGTCTTGAAAAATTGCTTAGCCACGGCCAGTCATTAGTAATTAGCTTGTGCTTATGCATGGCATTTTTATAACGAGTTACATGGCAGAAAAAGTCGAGTGTGTGAGATGCACCTTGACTCAGCATCCTCAGGACACCCAGCCAGCTGGTTTGGGGAGACACTGCTGTCTGATGGTGGGCATTGCCCAGAATTGCAGATGAGGGTACAAAGAGCTTCAGAAGTATTGGCCCAGCTGCAACTGAACACATAAGGTAACAGCAACTGCCACATCCTCCTCTAGATGATCAGGTGACCCACAGAGTCTGTGACCCCATATCTGTCATGTCACAGGCCCCCTCTGAATATTGTGCACAGACACACTGAACCCTGCCCTGATTTTCCCCTTCCTGCTCTTTCCCACCAGCCACCCCCTTGCCCCTTCCCTATGGCACCTCTGCCTGCCTTGGCCCCCCAGGACCATGAGTCAAGTCATTTCACAACCCTGTTCTCTTCAGTTTAATGCATGCCTCTGTATTTTATGCAGTAGTTTTTCTAGACCTGTTCAGTATGGGTGGTTCATGGGTAAATAGGACATAGTGCAATCTACCAAAAGAATCACAGGTCTAGAAATCCCAGAGGTATCCCAGTAGCTAAAAGTGATGGTGTCCATCCCCTGCCTGCCCTGCACAGCCAACCCAACTCCTTCCTGTCCAGCCTTCAAACAGCACCAGGGTGCCCCCTGCCACTCACACCCCTCATCCACTCCTAGTTCTTTTTTTTTTAACTTTATTGGTTCCTTTTGGATATACATGACATAGAACCCATTTTGATATAGTTATACAAGCAAGGAATACCTTATTCTTATTAGAACTCCAGTCTTGCAGATATTCACACTGGTGGGATTCACTGTGCTATATTCATAGATTTACCAGGAAAGTTATGTCAGATTCATCCACTGTCTTTCCTTTTCTTTCCCTGTCCCCCTCCCTTCATGCCCTCCTTGTTCAATCCCCTCTGATTCTGTCCATCTTCCTGATTCTCCCCACCATAAATCCAGAGATATCCCCTCCTAAACAACTTTATTTATAGGGAGTAGGAAAAACAAGGGATGTCATTGCTTGCAGGTGAGAAAGCACCCATATCTCCTGGCTCTAGCCAGCCATGAGGCTATGGTCAAGTCATTTAACCCCTTTGCACCTCGGTTTCCTCATCTGCAAAATGGAGGTAATGGTACACCCTTCATTTTGTTGATGTGTGAATTAGAGATCACTTAGGTCATATAATGATGATCATATAGTACATAAACAATAAAATACCCTTTTATCATAATAGGATGTATGTTTCCCTACAGAGTCCTTTCCAACTGTAAAGACAAAAAAACGTATTCAAGTGATCCAATTAGCATCACCAATCTGACATTTTATGCTTCCTGGGCTGATATAATATGATATAGCATCTTTTTAAAAATATTTTTATACCTTTATTTTGTTTACTTTTTTTTAATGTGGTGCTGGGGATCGAACCCAGTGCCTCACGTGTGCTAGGCAAGCACTCTGCCACTGAGCCACAACCCCAGCCCCTGATATAGCATATTTTATAAAATGTTTAATTTAAAACTAATCAAGAACCCAGCCCAATATTGTCCAAAACAAAATTATGGGATGGTGAAAATGTTCTCCACCTGTGCTACCAATGAAGTAGGCACTAGTGGTGTAATTGAGGACTTAAATACACAGAGTGCAACAGAAGAACTTGATTTTCTATCTACTTAATTTTAACTGATGCAAATTTAAATAGCCACTTGTATCTATTACCTACCATATTAGCAAACCAGTTGTAGATCCAACTTCCAATTTATAAAAAACACAAGGGAGAAAGCCACAGATAAATCACATAAAATCTATTTTTAAAAAATCTAGGGCAGCCTGAGATGGTGGCACACTCTGAGTCACCAGTGACTCAGAAGGCTAAAGGAGGATTGCAAGTTCAGGGTCAGCCTCAGCAACTAAGCAAGACCCTGTCTCAAAATAGAAAATTAGGACTGGGGAGGTAGCTCAGTGGTTGAGTGCTTGCATGACATGAATGATGCTCTGGGCATCACAAAAAAATAAACAAATCAAATAAAAGGGGCTGAGGGTTAGCTCAGAGCACTCCTGGGTTCAATTCCATGTAACACACACACACACACACACACACACACACACACACCTAGGAACAATTAGGAAAAATTGAATATGGGGTGGATAATAAGTGGTGTTTTAAATTATTGTTAATTTTCTTACATGTGGAAAAAGTACCTTCCTTAATCTTAAGAAATTTGTGCTGATGGGTCTAGGGTGTAGTTTGATTAGTGAGCACCAGGCCCTGGGTTCAACCCCCAACATATCTCTCTCTCTCTCTCTCTCTCTCTCTCTCTCTCTCTCTCTCTCTCACACACACACACACACACACACACACACACCATAAATGCCTGTTAAAGTATTTAAGGTTTACCAGCAATGATTTCTGAAAGCATCAAATAATGGGGCAAATGTAACATAATGTTATCAGGGGTTTTCTTTAGATATCTAAGTGGAACATCTGTCTCTGTTTGTTATAGTGTTTCAACTTTTCTATGAAAATTTTCATAATAAAAGTTGAAAAAGATGTAAAAAATATTTAATAATCTGCGGACAGCTATCATATTAGGAAAATCTGATGATTTTCAGTTGCAGAATCTAGAGTTGGAGAGATGCAGGTTTGTTTTAGAAGTACTTTAGTCACTGGGGCTGGGGTTGTGGCTCAGTGGCAGAGGGCTTGCCTAGCACATGTGAAGCACTGGGTTCAAGTCTCAGCACCACAGTAAATAAATAAATAAATATTTCAAAGACTGGAGGAACTTTGGATTGGGCAAAAGGGAGGTGGGGAAGGGAGGGGCACAGGGGTAGGTAAGATGGTGGAATGAGATGGACATCATTAAGCTAAGTACATGTATGAGTGTACAAATGGTGTGGCTCTGCGTAGTGCACAACCAGAGAAATGAAAAGTTGTGTTCCCTTTGTGTACAATGAAGCAAATGCAGTCTACTGTCATATATAACTAATTAGAAAAATAAATAAATAAAAGAAAGAAAGAATAAATGGACGAACGAACTTCACTAACTGTGGAATGGAGATAGCCAGTTGTTATTTGTAAATGCCTCAGTCTGTCCCAGGTCCCTTCCTCCATACATCACACTCTAGTCACAAGTCCCCTTCCCCAAGCCCCATTCTCCCCTCTGCTGACTCTCTGCATAGCCCTTCTCTGTGCCTCAAGTGCGTGTTGGGTGCATGCCTGCCAGCAAGGCACTTTGAAGTGGAAACATGCTGAGTCCCCAAGGGCCCAAAAGCTGTCATGCTTTACAAAGAAGAGGGTGCGGGCCACTCCACCATTAAAGAACATTCTGGAGAGGGGTTGGACAAGGCTAACCGCCCAAGCCCATAAAGCTCAAATTGCCCCAATCCATCTTCATAGCCAAGCCCGTTCAGAAGCTGGGCTTAAATAGGACTGGGGTGCCCAGACCAGCACATTGGCATTTCCACCACGACTCCAGCCCTCCCATCTTCACCTCTGCAGCAAACACCTTCAGAAGCACCATGACTTGCAGATCAGGATTCGGAGGCCGAGTTTTCAGCTGCGCCTCAGCCTGCGGGCCCCGGCCAGGCCGCTGCTGCATCACCGCCGCCCCCTACCGAGGCATCTCCTGCTACCGCGGCCTCACCGGAGGCTTCAGCAGCCAAAGTGTCTGCGGAGCCTTCCGCTCTGGCTCCTGCGGCCGCAGCTTTGGCTACCGCTCTGGCGGCGTGTGCGGACCCAGCCCACCCTGCATCACCTCCGTGTCCGTCAATGAGAGCCTGCTGGCGCCCCTGAACCTGGAGATCGACCCCAACGCGCAGTGCGTGAAGCACGAGGAGAAAGAGCAGATCAAGGGTCTCAACAGCAGGTTCGCTGCCTTCATCGACAAGGTGGGTGTCCTGGATCGCACCCTTCCTGATCCCCAACACAGGTGCACAGCCAGGCCTGAACACTGAGAGAGGAGGAAGAAGCAGAATGACCTTACATCATTGAGACCACAGTCTGATGGGACACAGACACAAACCCAGAAAGACTCAACTGTCAGTCAGAGAAGCAGATTATGTGGGAAAATGGAGTGAACAGTCTTATCTAGGCACAAGTTGGACTGCAGGAAGTATAAGAGGGATGCATCAGTGGCTGCTGAGACTGGTCCAGACTGAAGGTGGGCCAGGTTGGGGCAGGAAGGGATATCTGCCAGAAGAAGTCGGGGAGGGCAGGATAGCCCAGCTCTGTCCTAGATGGCCTGGCATCAGCTCTATGATGCCCACCACCAGAACCCCATGATGGGGTCTGAATGTGGGGCGCTGGCTGAGAGCTCCAGCCTCACTGCCTTCAGAGTAGGGGTGCTGAGCCCTGAACCTGGCCCCTGACATTTGTCCCTTGGATCCATCTGGATGGGGAACTGGGCTCACATGAGAACAGGCACATATCCACATCAGCCCCTGGTTCCCACCACAGATCAGGAACAGGAAAGGGAGAAGTTGTCCTGTTCTCAGGGCTCACCTCTGCCTGATCTCTGGTGAGCTCCAGGGTCAGAGGCCCCTTCAAACAATCACCCCCATGCCAAGAGCTGGCTGACCCCTGATCCACCCTCTCCACCACCCCGAATGGCAGGTGCGCTTCCTGGAGCAGCAGAACAAGCTGCTGGAGACCAAGTGGCAGTTCTACCAGAACCGCAAGTGCTGCGAGAGCAACCTGGAGCCCCTGTTCGAGGGCTACATCGAGACCCTGAGGCGGGAGGCCGAGTGTGCAGAGGCCGACAGCGGGAGACTGGCCTCAGAGCTCAACCACGTGCGGGAGGTGCTGGAGGGCTACAAGAAGAAGTGAGTGGGGCCGCTCTGGTGTCCCTTCCCGCACAGACTGGCTTTGGGAGAGCCCTTGGCACAGATGATGAGAATGCCCAGGGAGGGTGTGTGGCCCAGCGCAGACTGAGGGAGTGCAGGACCTGTTCATGGAGCTGTGACCGTCCACACCTGCCTGAGAGCAGCCCTGAGGCCTGGAGTGCTCTGCACCCACCTCAGCCTTCCATCCTCTGAGGCCACACTAGGTGGCCCCCTGCCTTGGTGCTCAGTTCTGAGTTCCTCTGGGTCTATGACACCTCACAGCAGAGCTAGGATTGACACCATGGCAGAGGGCGCTGGCTGCAGTACCCCAGAGGCCACAGTGTCCACTCCCTTCTCTGCCTCCTGAGGGGACCTCAGTGCAGCCTTGGCACTGGGACTGGAAGGTCCCACAGGAGCCCTCTCCATCCCCAACTCAGAGTGGAGAGAGGATCCCAGACACCCCAACTCCAACCAGCAAGGACTTGGCAGGGCGGCTGGGGCCAGCGGTGTGGGCTTCCCTCCCCAGCCCCTGGCTGGCCTGTGGGGTGGGGTCTGTGGACACTGCCCTGCCCTCACTTCCCCTCTCTCCCATCTCAGGTATGAGGAGGAAGTTTCTCTGAGGGCCACAGCTGAGAATGAGTTTGTGGCTCTGAAGAAGGTGAGTCGCATGGCTGAGGGAAGCAGAGCCATGGGGGATTTCGGGGCAGATTCTTTTGGGGTCACCATGGGGGCTCAACCTCAGGGTGGGTGCAGTGACCTCTCCACATCAGGATGGGCAGTTGCTAGAGAGGCAGACCATCAAATGGCACACCTAGGGCTGTGACAAGGGAAATGACCCCTCGCACCTGCCCTGGGGCGAGGGGGTGGCTGTGTTGACCTCTGGGTGCCTAGGAGGTCTGTGGCTGGGGTCCCCTGGAGTCCAGGAGTTTAGTCTGCCTGTTGGGGGTGGTGTGGTCTGTTGGCATGCTGAAAGTCTGACGACAAAAGCAAAGATCTGACCCCAGAGTCTAGGGATGATGCAGTAGGACCGGGAGTGGTCAGGGGGCTACTTGGGAGACTACTGGGGGCTAGGGAAGGACCAGGTGGCAGAACTGAGGGGTCCCCTGGGCAAGCTTCCTACAGGAGAGGTAAAAAGGAGAGGTAGGAGGGGTCCTGCCAGGCAGGTGGGCCATGTCCAAGGCACCAAAGGTTTGTTGTCACAGTTGAGGAAGTTGCTGGGTGCATCTGGGGAGAGTCAGAAGGCAGGAGATGGCTTGGTGGTAGAGACAGTAGGGATCCTTCTCCCCTGGTATGAATGGAAGGGGTAAGAGGAGAGAGTAATTTGGAGGCACAGTCTTCAGGGACCCTCTGAGCTCAACCCCCCATCTTCCCAGGATGTGGACTGCGCCTACCTGCGCAAGTCAGACCTGGAGGCCAACGCAGAGGCGCTGACCCAGGAGATCGACTTCCTGAGGCGACTGTATGAGGAGGTGAGGGTCGCTAGGCTGGGCAGAGGGCTAGACGGAGGTGGAAGGGTGGACAGGGATTTGTGTCTGGGGCTCCAGGCTGGATTGTGTGATCAGGCAGAGTCTGGGGGCCAAGGGAGTCTGAGAAGTTGGGCACTGGTGTGCTGGGTTGGGCTCTGGTCTCAAGGAGCCTCTGACATGTCCCCATGCTCCTCCTGCAGGAGATCCGCATTCTCCAGTCCCACATCTCTGACACCTCAGTCATCGTCAAGATGGACAACAGCCGAGACCTGAACATGGACTGCATCGTGGCTGAGATCAAGGCTCAGTATGATGACATTGCCAACCGCAGCCGTGCTGAGGCCGAGTCCTGGTACCGCAGCAAGGTGAGGGGCTCAGGACCCCTGCCTTGTGCATGGGGCAGTGGGAAGGGAACAAGGCCTCTTTTACCTGGGGACTCTGATGCCCTGAGGTGGTGAGGGGAGGACAGACAGCTCTGAGGTTGGGGCCAGGGCAGGGCTGGCTGGCTGGTTGCACTGGCTCAGGGTGGCCCATGCTGAGCCTCAGAGCATGTCTGCCTCCCCCAGTGCGAGGAGATAAAGGCCACGGTGATCAGGCACGGGGAGACCCTGCGCCGCACCAGGGAGGAGATCAACGAGCTGAACCGCATCATCCAGAGGCTCACGGCTGAGATTGAGAATGCCAAGTGCCAGGTATGGCTCTCTGTGCCCAACAGCAGGGGGGCTGGGCCCTGCCCAGTGCCACACAGCCAGGCTGTGCCCTATGTGGGCCTCACCACTCATTCTGCAGCCCATCTGCCTGACCAGGTCCCCAGCGTGGTCAATCTGGGTGATCCAGGTGAACAAGGCAAGAGGGCCTGTTTCTGGGCTGTTCCCAGCTGTGAGGAGACCCTGGGTACATCCAGGCAATGACATATACACACACTCAGGGACCATAACCTCCCCTGTTCTCCTCTGGGTCTCTAGAACAACAAGCTGGAGACCGCAGTGACCCAGTCTGAGCAGCAGGGCGAGGCGGCCCTGAGCGACGCCCGCTGCAAGCTGGCTGAGCTGGAGGGCGCCCTGCAGAAGGCCAAGCAGGACATGGCCTGCCTGCTCAAGGAGTACCAGGAGGTGATGAACTCCAAGCTGGGCCTGGACATCGAGATCGCCACCTACAGGCGCCTGCTGGAGGGCGAGGAGCAGAGGTGGGTCTCAGCCCCTGGATGTTTGTGTCCCCAGTACTGATACCTTGCCTAGACCCCATCTTTTCCTTGGTTCATCAAAGGTCAAGATTCTGGGGGTAAAACCTAAGATTTATCACCTTGGGAAGGTAGGGTGTGTATGGTCAACCTGCTCCCTCTGGGCCTTGGCTCCTAATTTGTTGAGACTTCCTTGTGGATCCCACCCTAAGACTTTGGAGAGCTCTGTTTGCAACTGGGGCCGGTCACTAATTTCCTTTTCTTGTCCATCCTCAGGTTGTGTGAAGGCGTTGGGGCTGTGAATGTCTGTGAGTATTGGGGCCCATAGCGAACAGATCTCCCCCTTCTCTGTGGGGGGGTGTATGGAAAGAGGGATAGCAGTAAGAGCAGGACATAAATGGGGGGCTGGTGTCACTTCAGGAGGGACAACCAGAAAAACCATGAGAAGATGCCCTTGGGGAAATGGGATGCCTTGCCCCGCCTCCCAGTTTTGACTCAGTCTTCTGGGACTTCAGGTGTCAGCAGCTCCCGAGGCGGAGTCACGTGCGGGGACCTCTGTGTGTCTGGCTCCAGGCCGGTCACTGGCAGCGCCTGCAACGCCCCCTGCAGCGGTAACCTGGTGGTGAACACTGGAATGTGCGCGCCCTGCAATTCTGTGGCGTCCTGTGGCCTGGGCACTTGCGGAGTGGGCTCCTGTGGCATTAGCTCCTTCGGAGTGGGCTCTTGCTCCAGCAGCTGCCGGAAATGTTAGTCGCATAGGCTGCAGCCCAGGCCCTGGCCTTTCTCCTGAGGAGCCAGTTCAGCCCCTCTCAGCCTAAGGGCCTGAGGCAAGGGCTCCACTGCTTCTGCACTTTGATGGGTCCCTTCCGCTCCCAGCCCCTTTGGTTTCCCTGTGTGATCCCCTGCTCCTGGGCTCTGCTGACCGGCAGTGCAAAGAGCTAACCGAGAAGAAGTCCCCTTGGAGCCTAGAAAGGGGAGGACCAGGACCAGGGCCATACCCTGGGATACCATGGGGCCCAGGCTGGAGCCCCCCCGCAGCCTCCCCCTTCCTTTTCTGCCCTGTTCATCTCTGTCTTACTGTGTTTCCAATAAATCAATGTAGCCAACAGTGGACCTTGTGTGCATGTCTGTTAAGCTCCTCAGGTGCTGGGGTTGAGAAGGGCCTCAAAGTCACATGGATCAGATAAAGACCCAGGGCTGCCTCCAGGACTTTCCCTTACACCTGGGCTCACAACAGTCTGACTTAGCCAGGGTTTGTGCTAGGCTCTACATGATGGAATTTGGTCCACACAACTTTAATGATTTTACCCACACAACCTCAACAATACATCTCACAGATGAAGAGATCAAAAGTGGAGACCTGTGGTAACCAGCTTTCCACTTGGTTGAGTGGTTGAACTATGATTTGAACCCTGTGTGGGTCTCTAGGGCTCATTCCACTAGACCGTAGCTACCTCAAAGACATCCTGCGCACGTCTGTAAACTGGTGGATAATGAGTGTTAGATTCTCTCATGACTCAAAACTTAAGGAAACATCACTCACTGCTTTGTTGGTGAAGACTCATGCCTGGGTAATTTATTGGAATTCTTTAGGATACATGAATATGATTTAAAGTTTCAAAAAGCCTTTTTTTTTTAATGGAGTCTCTTTGAGGTTTGGAGACCTGCCATCACTGATGCATTGCCTCAAAGACAGAAAACTACACACAGAAACATGATGTGGCCCAGAGGTGAGAGCAGAGACTCTGGATCCAGGCTGCCTGGGTCCAAAGTGACTAAGGAACTCAGGCAATGTGCTGGCTCTCTCTGTACCTATTGGCATATTTCTAAAATAACAATAAAAGAACACTTACCTCAAGGTCAATTTAGTATTTTAAACATAAAACACTTAATGCCTGCCACAAAATAATCACTATATGCATTTGTCATTAGTGTTACTCTTTTGCAGAATGCAAAGTAGAAGTGTCTCCAGGGGTCAAGGCCATGGCCAGCCTCTTATTACACTCATTCATGATCAGAAATTACAAGTACAGGGAGAAATCTCCACGTCTTCTGGACCAGTGAGCTCCCTTGGTCAGGGAAGTATTCACAACACTGACAAGAGTCTTGTGAGTGTTATGTGTTAGGGGGTGGGGTTGGCAGCTCAGCGGCACCATGGGCCCTGGTGAGTTCCTGAACAAGCATCTTTAGAGCAGGGTGAATCTCTAAACGTCAAGTCCCAGGGCCAAAAAAATTAGTAGAAATGGAATTCCTCTGCCTCGGGACAAGACAAATTTGAGAAAATAGAATACTGAGAAAGGAGAAGTGAGCGGCCTTAACAAAGGCTCTTATAAGGAATCAAGCCAAGGTCTCCTGGACGTTTCTCATGAAATTCTGAGCAGGACAGAGCCTCACAGAGTTCCATAGTGGGCTGGTGTTGTAACCAGCTCTCTATACTGTGGCACCACACTGCTGAGAAGCAGGCCTAGTTAAGATAGCATCCTGAAGCCCAAACACCAGCTCCTCACTTCTGTCCCTCCCCAGTCCAGAAGTCACCTACATCTCCAGTCCTGATGGACTCCCCATCTCTGCCACCGTATCCCTCCTCCCCTCCTGTGCCACTGGTCATATCAGCCCAATTGGTCCTTGAAGCTCTGCCATACTTTCATTCCCTCACCTACTCCAAGTCTTGACTCTCTCCTTCCCAGTCCAGCTCCACAACCCTCTCCTCCCTCCAGGATCCTGCTGCTGGAGAGGCTCAGACAGAGAAGCAAAGGTGAACACATCATGTCCATGTGTGGAACAGTCACAAAAATGGACCTCTTCACTGTGTGACCATTAGCAGGTCCCCTCCCCTCCATGGGCTTCAATGTATTCATTAATCTAGTCTGGACTAGATTATATGTATTATAATATAATATAGATTATGCATTATATGCTATATAATACAAATTATATATATATTTAATTTATATGTATATTTAACTTATATATAATGAATACTGTATATAATTATGTAAAATAATTTTTATATAATTTTATATAGATTATAATATACTCTATATTATAGATTAATATAGATTATGTGATATAATCTATATTATATATTACATTTATATATTCTATTCACATATTTTATATATAAATTATAATATTTATGTAAATTATATATTTTATTTATATAGATAATAATTTATATAATTATTATATATAATAATTTATATATAATTTATGAATTATATAATCTAATCTAGACTGGATGACTGCTAAGATCCCTTATCAATTTAAAGCTCTGTTAAATGAGATCCTAACTAGAATAAAATGTATTCCATGTTTGTGTAATTTTGTCAAAATGGATTTTGATGTCATGTATAACTAAAAATAACCAATTTTTTTAAACTTTTTTTTTTTTTTTTTTTTAGGAGAGGTAGGAGAGGCCTTGAGACTGAAGAGAAATGGGGAGTGTAGGCTGGTTGCAACCGTGCTACGTGGGTGCGTGCTATCTACACATCTGCTCATACTGCATGGCTCTGGATCTACAGGTGGCCGTGAGTGAAGCAGTGTGATTATATCCGGGTGTTCTCTCAACTCTAACAGCTGTGTGGAAGCTTATGTATGCGTGTGACTGTGAAGGTTTCTGTGTTTGTGACCAGGCACACAGATGTGTACATGTGCTGAAGAGAGGGGTTGTGGGTGCACGTGGGTGTGGTAGTAGGGCAGGGATCACGGATGGAGACAGGCCCAGGTGGGAGTAGTTATGGGCGGGTGCTGCTGGTTGCTGTTCTGGGGAGACACCCTCTGGCTAGGAAGTCATTGTTCTAACCCTTGGGATTGCCTGCCTACCCCTCCTGCCCATCTATCTCTTTAGCTCCAGCTGGAACAGAGAGATCAGAAGGCCTTAGGGTTTTGACAGCCTTCTTTAAAGGTATTCAAAGTGTTTCTAAAGGGCTGGGGGTAGAACTCAATGGTAGAGTGTGTGCTTAGTATGTGTAAGGCCCTGAGTTCAATTGCCAGCATCCCTCAAAAAACTTCCATAGAACTCCAATAACTAAAAACATTAATGCATTTAACTCTTATCATTTTAAGTACTTTATAAGCTCTTTACATACAGGAATATCTTTTGTTCTCAAACACCCTGCGAAGGTACTATTCTATTTTACAGATAAACTTTGACTCATAGAGAATAAGTAGGAAGGAAAAAAATGACTTTACCAATTAGATCTGAAGTCTGATGTGGGGTGGGACTGAGACTCAGAAATAGGGGAAGAGTTTGGTCCAGGTAACATCAAGACTGGAGCAGACTCCAGGTCTTTCCTTCCTTACTCCAAGCAGGTTTGGTTGATATCTTGGGGTTACCACAGGAAGGACTGCATTTGGGTTCCACAGAAGACTTCTGAAGAGTTATGTGGGGTGAGACATGCTAATGGTAGGAAAATAGGACCCATTAGAGACTGAGCTAAACTTCAGTAGAGTTGAGACAGCTGGGGATGTTTAGCCAAGACAGAAAGGACGTGGGGTGGGGTTCTGGACAGCACGGTAGATTGTGACGGGATAGATTAACCAGAATCATAAAGCCTTCGTTCCCCATTCACATCCACTCTGTGGCGGGCACTGGGTATAAATGAATGAGACAGTCACCGCCCTCAGGAGACTCAAATAGAGCCTGTGGACACAGCTAAGATAGCATCCCGCTTGTTTGAGTGCTATGAAATGTGAGGCAGGTATGTGACACCAACAGAAGGCTGATTCCTTATTGTCCCCTGATGCCAAGAAGCAGTGATTGACTGATGATGGTCCTCCCTTCAAAAATCACCTGACTCAAGGAGCATGCAATTGGACTGGTGAATGACTCTCCATAAAATCACCAGGCAGTTTTCTCCCACCCCAGACTGGAATGTGGCCCATGGCCATGGTAGTCTCTCATGGGTCCCCAAACCACAAACATTGCTGGTGACCCACAAGGCCCTGGCCTAGAGTCTTTAACCTGACCCAAATGACCTTGGGGATCTCTTGGACATCAGAGGCAAGTTCAGGCTCAGGGTTCTGGAAGCGGGATGCAGGCTCAGTCCTTAGAAATGCAGGCTGCAAACACACACCTGAAACCCTGCCACAGTCCTCAGGGACATTTCTGTCTGCACTTCCCACAAAGTTCTTTCATCGACATGCTCATGGCAGCAGGAGCTGGAAAAACTGGCCTTGAAAATCACAGAATCTCATTACCTCCTAGCAAAATGCAAGAATATGGAGCTGGATCCAGTATCTGGCAACAGGGCAGTCTGCTTTCCGGCAGCCATTTTGCATTGGGAATCATAGGAGGAATATTTATACTATTGGTGTAGGTCAGCTTTGATCCAGTGTGGTTAACATGAGCCCAGCAGGGCCACGTGCCCTGCCTCTCAGGTGGGGGCCACCTACCAGCCAAGTTTCTCTCTCATTCCTTTTGCATGAGACTGTTCTATTTACCCAGGAAGGGGGCCCTTTTGAATACCTATTCTCAGGACAGAGAAACAGGAAAACACAGCAGACAGTCTGGCACTAGAGTACCTTAAAAGGTAAAGCCAAGGGCCTCTAGCGAATGACGCACCTTAGCCCCACCCAGAGACATAGAAAGCAGGAACTATTGTTCCCAAGACACACTGGTGATGTAATCCTTTGTGCAACAGAAAAGAATGTGAGTTTACTAAGCAGAAGCTGCTCTCCCCAGTTTGCATGGTAAGGAAAGAGCCCAGAAACTCGGCCTTGCTCTGGCTACTCCACCCCAAACTATCCCGTGTTCTTCCCCCAAAGTCCAGTTGCCTGGCAAAACCTCAAATCACACTAATTCTTAGACCTGGAAGTATATAGGTACCCATGCTGCCCTCTGCCACTCTCAGGTCACTTGCTAAACCAGAACTCAGGCCTGGGCTGCCCAATTGTGTTCATCTCCCCCAGTGCCGCCTGTGGAGGCCCTCTTTTCAGAGCCTGTCCTCAAGTACCTTGTCAGGGCAGCAGAAAACAGGCAGCCCTCACTCACTTCACCCCACTCTCCTATCTTTCTGGTCTGTTTCCTTGTTTATGATTGTCTCCTCCTGGGATAGGAAATCATCTCCAGAGATCCAGGTCTAGAATGTCTTGCTCATGGTCACACCCCCCAGTGCCAAACACTATGCAAGACCCTGGGAGGCCATTCAAGAAATATTGATAGAGTGAAGGAGTGGGTGAATAAATACTGTTCTCAGCAACTCTACCCAAGAGAGCTGACTGCGGAACCCAGGCTAGACCCTCCTGGAGGAATTTCCCCTTCTCTTGGTTTTCCCCAAGGGCCCTCTGATTTGCCCTCCCCATCCTAAAGACCAATAGCAAGTTATCTAACATCAGTCATGTGGCCCACACACCATAAGGGGAGAGTTGCTTCCTAGTATTGCCCCCCCCCTTATGCCAATGGGGCCAAACTTGGTTTTTGTTGCGGGGGTGGCCTGGGGAATAAATCCTAGCAGCTCAGTCACTACAGAACTTTTTATTGTAAAGGAGGAGTCCCTGGAAAAGAGGGGTGGGGCAGCTCAGAGCTGCAGGGTGCTGGGTGCAGGGAAGCCACAGGCCACGCCTACTCCATGGCACCAGCGACCGGACCTCCTGCACTGGGGACAGATCTGTCACAGTTCTGTAAGCTTCGTTCCAAGACCTTACGCTCCGCAGCGAGGACTACTGACTGAGAGGAAGAGGTGGAGAGAGGGCCAGCTCCATGGGAGAGGGCATCTGAGACAAAAGGGCCAGACTTGAGGTTCCTCTGGGGGCAGAAGTTGGGGTTCCTCGTCTTCTCCGGAGCTGGCGAGAAGGGTTCAGCATCCGCGGGAGCCGCTGCAGCTGAAGCCCCCGTCGCAAGCTGGGCGGCCGCAGCGCGCACAACCGCCGCTGGGGGCGCTCGCGTCCAGGGCGCCGGAGCCAGCTCGAGGCGCCAGCAGGCGGGAGGGGCTCGAGGCCAATGTCCTGCTGGCCGCAGCGCTGCCCAGGGCTGGGCAGAGAGCAGTGTGAGAAGGAAGGAAGCCCTCCGGTGCCCGCCCCGACCAGAAGACCGACGTACAGGGCACAGATACCCAGACCCTCCCCACCACACTTGTGCAAACTGCCCCCAAAGAAACAGATTCACAGAGCCTTCCCCCAACACACCCAAAAAAACCGCCCCCAAGAGAAGAAGAGTCCCCAACCAAGGCAAGCTGCACAGAGACGGCAGGCACAAATGTAAGGACAGAAATACCCTTCAGGTTGGAAGCATCCAAAATGGGGGTGGGGGGATACAAGAATTGGCTTCGGCGTAAGGTACTTTGTTTACTTACCCACACTCCCTGCCCCAAATCCCAGACCAAGCCTGTGGGGAGAAGCAAGAAGGTAAGTGAATCTATATACTAAGTTTGATACTCTCCATTCTCCAAGACGGACGCTCTGACCCTCCGCAGACAGCCAAGAGACTTCCATCCTGCAAGCTCCATGGGTCTGTCTGATCCCCACAGCCTTTTCGTCAAAATTCCTTCCAGACCTTTAAACTCAGTTCCTCCTGCTTTCATCCATATGACTTACTTCAGTGGATGACTTCTTGGAGGAGAAGAAAGCAAAAGATCGCCCCCTTTCTTTAGCCTCAACTGATCTTGGAAACTAGAAGGGGGCATTTTAAACTTATAAGGGAGACCACAGAGGAGACAGCTCAGTGATCTAAAGAATGTTGTGAAGCCTCACACCATCACTTTTTACCTGTGTGTCTTTGAGGTTGTCATTTACCTGCCCTGACACTTGTCCCTTGTGTACGGGTAGTAATTCCTCCCCCCTGGGCTTTTGCAGGGGTTAAAGGAGATGATCATTGCAGCATGCCTATGTGGATCCCGCCTGCTGGGAGTTCACGCCTGTCTGCCCCTCAGCCTGGCCTACCCAGTTCACACTGGAAATGCTTGGTTTCCTATTGCTACCTACAGTGACAAGCCAGCCCTACCTGTTCCTTTTAAAAAAGCATTCCCAGGCCTGAGGGAGAGAGGCAGAGATGAAGGCACCTCACACCAGAAACCTCATCCCCCCACCCTTGGTCTCTGCAGCTGTCTTGATGGATAAACTGGCCCCTGCTGTCTGACATGGGGGTGGGGGAGGGGCAAGATACTTGTGGGATCACCCCCCTCCCCAGTGCCAAGGGTCCTCATTAGCAGAGCCCTTTTGTTCCCAGGCTGTAAGAAGGTGGGGAGACTGGCTCCAGAAGAACCAGTTCCCCTCCAGGTGACCCCTCCCCACTAACAAGGGTTGTGGCCGCTCCGCCATGCCCTGCTCACCCACAGCTATCAGAAGCACCTTCTCCCCTCACCGGCTCTCCTCACTCTCCAGAAGTCTGCAGTAGGTGGCGATCTCGAAGTCCAGGCCCAACTTGACAATCATGAGCTCCTGGTACTCGCGCAACTGCCGTGCAATGTCCTGCTTGGCCCGTTGCAGGGCGCCCTCCAGCCAGGCCAGCTTGCCCTTAGCACCTCCCGAGGCGCCCTCCTCCTGCAGGGCTGCTAGGTCCTTGGCTTTCTCTAGTTCACAGGGCTGAGGGTGAAGGAAAACCAGGGACAGAAGACATCCTTGGCCTCCACTCTTCTGCCCTCAAGGATTCAGATCTTTCTCAGGGGTGAAAGGGCCAGTGAGGGATTGGAGATTGTCCATGATTGTGAGGAGAGGTAACAGGCCTGTGCTAGGCCTGTGTCTAGACTGCAGGATACAAAACAATCCACCCACCCCTGCAATCGGGGTGGAGATTTGGGGCCAGCCATCTGGGATGACTGAGAGAGAACGCTTTGCAATCTAGCTTGGTGACACCCCTCATGGGAGCTAGGATCCAGGAAGCATCAGATGCTACTGGTGTTGGTGTTTCAGGAGGAAAACCAACAGAAAGAATACCCTCCCCCACAGACACTGAAGTATGGGGTCTCTGAGAAAAATAATAATAGTAACAAATACTGAAGCCTGAGGCAAGCCTGCTGCTTGGGGAACGGGCTGCCTCACCAGGGAGGTGAACCATGACAGGCCCACCCCACCCACCCTGCCAGCCCTGCCCCCTTAAAGTCATCAGTGCCTGGACAAGAGCAAAGCTTCACCGGGAATGTCCCTCAGGCCTGAGACACTTGCATTTGCAGAAAGTTAGACAAGATTGGGAGCAGGAGGAGGAGCCCTTCCAGGGGGTGCGTAACAAAGAGGGATAGTGGGGAAGAAAAGAGGGCTGGGAGGGAGAGAGATTGGGGGAAAGGAAGCATCCATCAGGATCCTCTTCTTCCTAAGGCCCAAAGCTCAAGTCACAAACACAAATGTCTGCAGGGGCCTGCCTGGCTAGAAGCACTAGAGGTGAAGGCCCAGTGTTAAACAGACATCAGTATATCCAGTTCCACAGAGAAACACACTCTCTTCCATTTCCCTGATGACACCAGGAACCCTCTTGAGCTTTCTATCTTTTGGTTCTACGCCTTTTCTCTTCCACAAGAATCACACAGTGAAGCCAGGGTGTGAAATGGCAAAGGGTCTTCGGCCTAGGTACCCAAAGATGCAGTTGGGAGTGGTAGGCACTGCAGCACCCCAGAACTTGTACCCTACGAGAAGAAGATGGAGAAGAAAGAGATGTCTCTTCTCCAGCCTAATGTTACCGGCTTAATATGGCCAGATCTTCATGTTTTAAAGAAAACAGGAATTCTAGGTAAAAATCTTGCAATTTCTGAAAGTGGGCAAAGACCCCCAAAAGGCACGGAAATATACATACCCATATGAACATAACTATACAAATAATCATATTCATACATATTTTTTATACGCTAGTTACCCACATGACGTACCTAGAGTTCCAGGCAAAGGTAGGCATGCAGCCTGCTTCTGTTTGCTCACACATTTACAAAGAGAAAACTCTTGGAGGGTTTCTATCTAAGGGATGGGAGGGTCTGGAATAGTTGTCATAAACAATGGGCACCCTCCCAACGTCACCAGCCTGCCACCCCTACGCCCACACACCTGACCCTTAGCACCATCCACCTCCACAGCCAGCTGCTGAATGGCCTGGTTAAGCCTGTTCAGATCCTCCTTGCTGTGCCTCGGGCCCTGCGTGTGCTTCTGTGTGGCCATCTCCATCTCCTCACACTGGGGGTGGGCAGGAGAGGAGAGCAGAGGTCAGGGAGGAGAACGAGGAGACCAGGACCCATGGCTCCGGTGCCCACCCTCCATGGTCGTCACAGACGGCCAGCTCACTTCTATGGTCATCTGTATGTCCACCTAAAAAGGGGCTGGCAATCTTTCTTGTCTCCAGGGTCGTTGGGAGAGCACAAGGCACGAGGCAGCCCAGCCAGGAGATGCCAACGCCAGTCTGCACTCCACACCAATTATTACAGTTTATCTCATGTGACCACCAAAATGAATATTAAAAGCACTTGATAAAATTTTAAAATGATTCCTAATTTTAAAAGTACTTTTTTCAAATCTAGGAATATGAGGAAATCCACTTAACTTGATGAATGCGATAAATCAGAACCCAGTGACGGGGACCCCAAGCACCAGCTCCTTTCTCCAACCAAGACTACTATGGGGAGCGCGGCCTACAGGAGATGAAGTTGGTGGCACTTTTGCATCCATGTGCAATACGTAAACAGCTTGGGCACAGTGCCTGACACTTTTCCTAATCTTTTACTGCTACCATCTCATTGGTGCCTCATGTCTATCTGTGAAGTAGGCCTGGTAGAGGCAACTGTCTGTCACCTTTCCCTGAGCAAGCAGGTGGGTACTCATTCCATCTACTGTGGGCACAGAAGTAGGGGCTAAGAGGTGTTGAGCCAGAATGCATGTCTTAAAAATCTTTTTAGTTGTAGTTGGACACAATACCTTTATTTTGTTTATTTACTTTTATGTGGTGCTGAGGATCAAATCTAGTGCCTCACCTGTGCTAGGCAAGTGCTCTACCACTGAGCCTCAACCCCAGCCCCAGAATGCATTTTATACCCTGAGGGACAGTAAAGTCACTCACAACCCAGACAGTGGGAACCTCGCCCACAAATTTCTGCTATGTCCCCACTGCCCACCCGTTCCTGCTCCTTTTCCCAAAAATTGTAGACACAGCAGAAAAGCTTGTGCCTGACTGGGTCCCACAGATCAGAGCGGAATCTAAGCCCCCTTGATCCCTGTGTGACCCATGAGTCACCTGGACAAGTCTCACCATGTGAAAGGAGCTGTCGTTTCCTCCAGTTTCTCTTGAACACCAAAGCCCAGCTCCAGCGCCCAAGGAGCTCCAGAATCCTCACCACTGAGGCCTCTCCTTCCTGGGGGCTTTGTGACGTCACCTTGTTTCAATCGCAAAATTCTGACCTGGAGGTCTCAGAGATGGGATGGAAAGAGGCCATCCTGTGGCTGAGATGGGAAAATGGAAGTCCCTGGATTGAAGTGGGAAAGTGAAGGAAATTGGAAGAGAGAGAAGGCTACTTCAGATGGGGGAAAATGTGTGAAGTTAGGGAGTCTGGGCTTGTGGCATGTACAATGGGGAGCTACAGAAGGTGCTTGAGCAGGAAAGTGGCCTGATGTGGAATGTCATTTACGAAAGCCAGTCTGATAACAATGTGGAAGATACAGGAGGGTAAGAAACTGGACTGGGGATGGCAGTTCCCAGAGTTGGCAGGAAATCTGGAGTGAGGCTCTGACTAAACCAGTGGAGGGAGCCAGGACCAGAGAGCACAAGCTGCCACTGATATTTTCTTTTTTTATATAAATTTCTCATACTGCAAAAGAGCATCTGTAACATATGTTCAATGATGTAAATAGCAACAATAACATAACAAACCTGTGCGCTTACCAGTACCTCCTTGGGACCCATCCGTGGCCCTGCCCCTTCCTCTAGGATTTTATGTTAATCTTCTCCTTGCCTTTCTTTGTTTTATCATATGCAAGTATCCCTAAACTATTACCTGATTTCACCTACCTTTAAGCTTTGTAGGTGAAACCAGGTAATAGTTTGGGGATACACTGTGTGCTTTTAAAAACAACTTGCTTTTTCCTCTCTCGAGTTGTAATTTGAGATTTATCTCTTTTGATGAAGCTTTGTTTATTTTTCAGTGTTGTGTAGCATTCCAAATGTGCTTATTCATTTACCTATTAGTAGTGCATATGTGCTTTTTGGTTTCTTGTAACAAACCACGTTGTTACAGATATTTGTACTTATCTGTTGGCACACTTCAACAAGAGGTTCTTAGGGCTACTGGCAATCAAACAGTTTTTTATTTTTTTATACCAGGGATTGAACCCAGGGGTGCTTAACCACTGAGCCCATCCCTAGCCCATTTTTATTTTTTATCTTGAGGCAGGGTCTAGCTAAGTTGCTTAAGACCTCACTAAGTTACTTAGGCTGGCCTTAAACTCACGATCCTCCTTCCTCAGCCTCTGGGGTTAAATGTTATTTTATTATAATTTGGAATAATATATGTGTGTGTGTGTGTATGTGTATGGGTATGTGTGTATGTGTGTATATGCCTGAATCACTACCCACACACATACACAATACATAAACTGAAATTATATTATTTATAATATAAAATTATTTGTTAAAAAACTGCTCATCCCTACTGTATATAATGTACTTTGATATTCTGACTAATCTCATTAACACATTTTTATTTTCTATTTATGTTCTTGTGTTTTAGTTTCATTTCTTATAAACGGCATTTTACTTGTCTTTTTTATTTAGTAATATAACGAAAAGGAAAGATCCATGAATATTTTGCCAGACCAAATGTATTACGGAGTTGCTAGCAAGCCACCTACAGGCTCCTGCCCCTGCCTCTCCTGTGCTTACCAGAGCTCGTCACTTTCCTGAATGGTGCTATATCCCTTTGATTTTGTTTTGTTTTGTTTTATCAAATACATGCATAACTAAAAATGTATTTTTTAGTTTTTTTCCTAACCTTTTTTATATAGAGAAAGCATTTTCATGATTACTATTGAAGTTTTAATATCTCTTTAAATTACAAGTGTTCTTTGTATTTCTGGATATTACTTCTTTGTCACTTCTATGTACTACAAATATCATCTTCAAGTTTATAAATTGTCTTTCGGTTTCTTCATGGCCTATTTTGATAAATAAAAGTTCTAAATGTAATGTATCCTTAATTTATCAATCTTTTATTTTGAGCATAGTACGTTTCTTGTTTTAAAATCTTCCCTATACCAAGGTCCAGTGTTTTACTTCTAAAGTTTTAAAGTTTTGCTTTTAACATTTATGATTTTAACTTGTTTAAAATTGATTTTGTGTATAATAAAGAACAGAGATCCAGTTTTTTCCTGTGGATATATGTAACTATGTATGGGTCCTCCTGCACTCTGTTATATGTCAAATACACACACACACACACACAAAAAAAAAAAACATTGTTACATTAAGGTTGTATTAAGTTTATGCTCTTGTTTATCAAAGCTTATGCACAAACTTGTTTATATATGTATATAAATGTAGGAGCTATCTATTTTGTTCCATTGGTTAATTTGTCCATCCTTGTATGAGTACCCCACTGTCCAATTATTGTTGCTTTATAATAAATAAGTTAAGATTCCTAAAAGAAGAGTAGTCCACTCATTCCTTTTTATTGGTACCTTGGCTATTCTTTCCCTTTGTTCTTCCCCATAAATTTTAGAACCAACTCATCAAGATTTATGTTGTTTGGAACTTGATTATAGTCATATCCACCCTGTAGATAAGCTGAACCAGAGTCAATATCTTGTCATAGCAATGCTTTCTATCTATGAACATGGTACATCTTTCATTTAGTTAGATCTTTTTTTTTATCCTTAATTTTCTATAACACTTTTACAATGTTTATATTTCTCAGGGTATAGGCCTCTTCCATATTCATTATATTTATTTCTAAGTATCTTATGGATTTTAAATCATTTTATCAATTTTATTGAGATATAATTTGCATACATTTTAAAAGAACAATTCAACAAATTTTGACATTTCCATCACCTTAGAAAGTTCCCTGATGCCTTTTGCCATCGGTCTCTCACCCCATTCCAAACCAACATTGATCTAATTTTTATCACTGAAGACAATTTTTTTCTAGTTCTAGAACTTCAAATGAATGGAAGCATACAGTCTATATTTTTATTTCTTTTTTCCATTTAGCAAAATGTTTTGTAGATTCACCCACATTGTTTCATGAATGTACTAGTAGTTCATCTTTTTTATTGCCAAGTGATATTCCATTGTCTGACTGTGTCCCAGATTGTTTATCTATTCATCTGTTGATAAACATTTGGGTTGTTTCTAGTTTGGAGCGATTATGAATAAAATCCCTATGAAATTCATGTACAAGTGTCTGTATAGATCTGTTTTTCAGTTCTCTTGGATAAATGTCCCAATCACTGTGCCATTTGATAAATGCTCATTTAACTTTAAAAGAAACTGTCATACAGGGGCTGAATGTACCTCAGTGATAAAGCACTTTCCTAGAATGTGTGCTGCCCTGGATTCAATTCCCAGCACTACAAAATAAAATGAGATTGGCATACAGCTCTCCAAGGTAACACTAGCATTCTATACTCCATAACATTCCAGCTGATTCACACTTGGCATTGTCAATCTTTCAAATTTTAGCTTTTTATTACTGGGGGGCAATCTAAACAAACCCTCCAGCTTCAAAACACCTAATTGACTTAAAAATTCACAGCTGGGCAATGCATTATTAGTCTCACACTGTTTTGCTGTAGAAAACAACTCTGATGTATGTGTTATGATGATTATAGTTCACTAGGTTGCTCTACAGGGACTTAATGGCCATTTTTGCTAAAAACACTGACTCATTTCTTGAGCCTAAAAGTCAGGAATATGAGGTGGGTACAGTAGCACATACCTGTAATCCCAGCGACTTGGGAGGCTGAGGCAGGAGGATGTAAAGTTCAAGGCCGGCCTCAGCAACCTAGCAAGACCCTGTCTCAAAATAAAATAAAAAATAAAAAGCAAAAAGGGCTGAGGGTCATGGCTCAGTAGTAGAGCACCCCTGGTTTCAATCCTCGTACTGTGGAAGGAAAGGAAGGAAGGAAGGAAGGAAGGAAGGAAGGAAGGAAGGAAGGAAGGAAGGAAGGAAGGAAGGGAGGGAGGGAGGGAGGGAAGGAGAGAGGGGACCAGAAACACCAGACCATAAAAAGAGGTGGCAATCAAGTTCCTAGAAGTATTCCCCAAAAATATTTGAATATTCCTCCCCTTTATTAGCCTATCTCTTTCCCTCATAATTCCTATACCATATCTGTAATCTCTCAACCCCCTGCAGTTGAGAAACAGATTTGCCAGCATGGACTCCCACTTCTCCATTCTTTGGCCATGAACAAAGCCTTTCTTTCTCCCCAACTCATCTCTCAGACTGTTTTTTCCATGGGGTGAGCTTCTGAGCCTTGATTCCGTAACAGGAAGTGTGAAGAAGGTTCACTGTGCACTGGCTGCCATCTTGTCTGGGTCCACCAAGACAGGACACACTCATATGCATCCTGTTACACGAAGTGGATTTGTTACTTACACACCAGTTGCAAAGAACAATGGAAGCCTAAAATCTCTTGTGAGCCCAAGGCTCAAGAAGCTGCCTAGAGGGAATAGAGTCTCAAACTGCACATGTGCCATTTGCACCACAGATGAAGGACCTCTAAAGGCAGCTGCCCTGGGTTCTACACCTCAGAGGTGACATAAAACACTGAGCTAAAATATTGAAGGACATTCTGCTGGGAGGACAGAAGCCAGGCTGTTCCTCAGCCACTCCCTGTCTCAGGATGCCGGGTTCTCAGCACATTCTGCAGTTTTTCTTGGAACTTCAAGCAAGAAAGGGAGAGAACTGCGTCAGACCACAGACATCCAAAGAACTGCTGAGCAGTGGGTGTTACATATTTTCTCCTTGTGGTTTTAATTTGGATTTCCTTTATGACTAATAATGATGAGCAGCTTTTCACGTGCTCCTTGGCCCTTAATATATTTTCTTTTGTAATAGGTTGATTCAAGTCTTTTGCCCACTTTAATTGAGTTGTTTTTCTCATTATTATTGAGGTCAGACTTCTTTATTTCATGTTTAATATAATTATTGATGACTAGATTTAAGTCAACCAACTTAAACTGTTTCCCATAATCCCTTCTGTTTGCTTGTTTTGGCTTTGCTTTGATTGTTCTCTATCGTTCCTTTTCTGCCTTCTTTTTGGATTAATCAAATATTTTAAAATATTTAATCATTTATTTTATTGGCTTTATAGCAATATTTTATTTTGGTAATCACTCTAGAATCACAATATGTATCCTAAATCTATCAAAGTCTATTTAGAGCTAACATCGTGCTACGGCACACTTCTCAACTGACATTTCATCCTTTACAGAACCATTCACATTCCCACAGGGTTACTGTGAAATCTACATTTGCTTTTTGTCCGGTTTCCTGACATACAACTCTTAAAATTCTTGGAATCTCTGAGGTGGTAGTATCTTTTTTATGCTAATGAGTTGACTGATGGCTGACAGCCCTATGGAGTGTCTGGATCTGGACTGGTCAGAGGAAAAAAGAAGTCAGGATTAAAGGTGGGGACTTCTAGCCCCTCCCCCAATCTCTAGGGAGCAGAGAGGGCTGAAGATGAAGTTGGTCACCAGTTGATCATGCCTATGGAATGAAAACACCCTAAGAACCCAAAAGGACAGGGTTTGGAGAGTTTCTGAATAGCTGATTGCGTGGGGGTTTCTGGAGGGTAGTCATAAGGCTTGAAAGCTCTGCCCGGGGGCCCCCCACATGCCTTGCCCTTTGCATCTTTTTTTTTTTTTTTGGTTGTTGTATATGGACAGAATGCTTTTATTTTACCCTTATGAAGTGCTAAGGATCAAACCCAGTGCGTCCCACACGCTAGACAAATGCTCTGCCAATGAGCTTCAGCCCCAGCCCTCATCATATCTTTGTAATGCACAGCAATGGATACATTTTTCAAAAAAGAGAGAGAGAGAGAATTTTAATATTTATTTTTTAGTTATCGGCAGACACAACATCTTTGTTTGTATGTGGTGCTGAGGATCGAACCCGGGTCACATGCATGCCAGGCGAGCACGCTACCACTTGAGCCACATCCCCAGCCCCAACAATGGATACATTTTGTCCACTCTTTTTATTTTGGGGGGGGGGGCATTACTGGGATTGAACCCAGGGACACTTAGACACTGAGCCACATCCCCAACCCTTTTTAATATTTTATTTAGAGACAGGATCTTGCTGAGTTGCTTAAGGCCTTGCTGAGTTGTTGAGGCTGGCTTTGAACTGGTAATCCTCCTGCCTCAGCCTCCCGAGCCACTGGGATTACAGGCTTGCTCCATTCTTGGGTTTCAAAATGCCTTTATTTCAACCATGTTTTGGATACATTTGATGGTTATAAAATTCTTAGTTTACTATTATCTGGCCATGATTGTTTCTGACAACTGGTCAGTGGCTGTATATGTAATGTGTCCTTTTTTCCCTGGTTTCTTTCAAAAAAAAAATTGTTTTTTTACTCTCAAGAGTTCAGAATTTTCACTATATGTCTATGTGTGATATTCTTTTTATTTGTTATGCATGGGGCCCTTGATAAATGGAGTTGATATTTTTATCAAATACAGGACATTTTTTGTCAAATATTTTTCTGCCTCATTTCCACTCCCTTTCCTTTTGGAATACCTATTACATATATGCTAAATTATTTGATGTGGTACCAAGGGGCCCTAAGGCAGTTAATTTTTCTTCAATATTTTTTCTCTATTCTTTGGACTGAAATTTTTCTATGCATCTGTCTTCCAGACCACTGATACTATTTTAATGGGAATGACACAGCAAAGGTTGCTGCCTAGGCATTAGAAGTAGAACAGCACACCAAATAGCCCCAGCCCACGGGCAGAAGTAAGAACTTAGAGGCATCTTTCCTGCCTAGCAGATTGGGCTCCACACGTTCCCTACCCCTTCCTTTAAATGGACCATCAGGCATTTGACAACAAACTTAAAGCAACCACGCCCTATTCTCTTATAAATACTGTTAATTTTACCAGAGTCCTTTAGGAAAGGTCCCTACTCTATCACAAGAGACCCATCAGCCACCCATCTCAATATGTCAGTCAAAGAGATGAGCAGTGGTAAAGGGCAGGAAAGGAGCTTTTAATCAGCATGGCTACACCAGGAAGTACAGATATAGGGGTATAGTGATCAAAGGTCTATCTTCAAAGGACTGACAGAAACTTTGTGGTTTTACAGAAAAGGGGACTTGTATGACTGAGGGGTTTGCATAGCTGACAGAGTAGGACATCCTGATCAGACCACGGTCCGGCCCATCATTACCTCAGCTCAGATTGTAAGAGGTGACCATGGAGATGTCAGCTTCAGGGAGCAGTCTGGTTCCCCTGAGATGTTTGCTCCTGCTTAGGGGGGGCAGCCTCAGTCCCTGTCAGGGGATAATTACTCCCACTTGGGGGGGGTGGGGGTGGAGGGTGTGATTTTATCATGAACAGCATTCCAAGGTGACTAAAGGTTTAGGGCAATGACTGGAGACTTCCAGGCTCTGTAGTTGAATGTCCCTGCAAATCTTGAAAATATCTTAGCAACTCTGATCTCAAGTGTCCTCAGTCTTGAAGGGGGATGAGTTAGGTTAGATAAATTTAGGGTTAATAACCTTGTATTACATTCCTTAAGTGATTGACAGGCTCATGTGCAGAATTAGCAAGAATCTGACCCAAGGTTTAAGGCAATAAAGGAGACAGATATAAATGAAGCCAGAGAGGCTGAGCTTTACCCTGCTTTAAGTTACCCAATGGGGGTCCCTGCAAATCTAAGTAAAGAGGCCCAGAGGAGAACAGGGGAGGTTATGGCCCCTGAGTATGTCTGTTCGTTACCTCAATATGTCCAGTATATCTATCTGGCTAGGAAACCCCCCCAAAAAGTGGGTCTTGCCTTCATCAGTTGGGTCACCCTGAGTCACCAAACCAGGGACTCTACCTGAGCAAGTGGACTAGAGACTGGATGTTGAACTATTTTTTTCTTATAATCATATATGCTATATTTTTTTCTTTTTTCACATCTTTATTGGTGCCTTATAGTTGTACTTAACAGTGAGATTTGTGGTTACCTATTCACACATACATACAATACAACAATATAATTTGGCCAATATCACTCCCAATCACATTCCCCCTCCCCTACTCTCTCCCCCACATCCCTTTCCTCTATTCTACTGATTTCCCTTTGATTTTCAAGACTCTCCACCACCTTTATTTTTCCCCCTTTAGCTTCCACCTATGAGAGAAAACATATGACCTTTGAAATTTTGCTTAAGATAATCTTAATTTCCATGTATTTTCCTGCAAATGACATAATTTAATTTTTCTGTATGGCTCCATAAAACTCCATTGGGAATATATATCAGATTTTCTTTATCCATTCATCCTTTGATGGACACCTGGGCTGATTCCATAGTTCAGATGTTGTGAATTGTGCTGTTATGAACATGGGTATGCAGGTATCACTATAGTTTTAGGACCTTAATTCTTTATGATGAATTTGGAAGAGTGGTATAAATGGGTCATATGGTGGTTCACTCCCAGTCTTTTGAGGAACCTCCATACTGATTTCCACAGTAGTTGCACTAATTGACAATCCCACCAACAGGGCAAAAGTGCCCAATTTCCTCCACATCCTTTCCAGCATTTATTATTGTTTGTATTCCTGGCGACTGCCTAAGTTTAGACTGGGTACACCCTGGCTGTATGGCACTGGGTAAGCCCCAGACTCCTTGTTATTGGGCACTGTGACCCATACCTGGCACTTGGCATTCTCGACCTCAGCCGTCAGCTTCTGGATCATTCAGTTCAGCTGGTTGATCTCCCTGGGGCAGTGCAAGGTCTCCTGGTACCAGATCACCGTGGCCCTCATCTCCTTGCACTGGGGGAGACAGAGATGCTCATGAAGTTCAGCATGGGGCAGCCACCACCTCTCTCTATGCCAAGGCCCCCCATGCACATCCTTGCAAGAGGAGCCATTCACAACCAAGAAGGCACCATCCCCAGCATGTCCACAGCCTGCACACACCTATGTGCCTGCCCTGTCTATGTCCCCCATAGAATCATTTGATCTTCTCTTACACATTCCCCAGGAAGGAAGCGTGTCACTTGTTAGGGGCAGGGGACAGTTTCTTCAGCCAAAAGAAGCCTTGCTAATAGCTAGCTCTTGTCCCTCACAGTGCTACATCTAGGAGGCAGGTGTCCTGAGCCCCTTATCTTGCTGCGGTCCCAGGAATTGGCCTCAGCCCAACTAAAGTTGGCGACGTCATCATACTGAGCCTTGATCTCAGTCACGATGCAGTCTATGTTCTGGTCACAGTTGTTGTCCATCCGGATGATGACTGAGGTGTCAGAAATGTGGGCATGGAGCAGGGTGTGTGATGCATGCCTGTAATCCCAGCAGCTTGAGAGGCTGAGGCAGGAGGATCACGAGTTTAAAGCCAGCCTCAGCAATGGCAAGGCACTAAGCAACTCAGTGAGACCCCGTCTCTAAATAAAATACAAAATAAGGCTGGGAATGGGGCTCAGTGGTTGAGTGCCCCTGAGTTCAATCCCCAGTACCTAAAGGAAAAAATAATAATAATAATAAATGTGGGCGTGGAGAACCTGGATGCCCAACTTTACTGACAAAGGCAGCAGACGTGCTGTTGGGGCACTTGATCTGCCCCTTCTTGTGCTTCGTGTGCTGCACATTGGGGTCCATCTCCCAGTTGAGGGATGTGGGCAGGCCCTTGTTGGTGACACAGTGTTGATGCAGGGGAGGTCCATACACACCACAAGAGCAATAGCCCAGCTGTGTCTGCAGGAGCCACTGCAGAAGGCCCACGCTGCAGCTGCCTAAACCTCCGGAAGATAGCGATTTAGCAGTGGCTGGGCAGGGGTCCACAGACCAAGGCACAGCTGGTGGTGCGGCCTGAACCATGTCTCTGAGAGGTCACCCAGGAGCAGAACTACCAGAGCTCAGGCAAGACCATCCACAAATCATGGTAACTTCAGGCTGGAAGAGGTGGAACTAAAGGAAAAGACAGGATTCTGACTTCTCCCTCACTGCCTTCATCTCCCCCCTCAATTTGACAGAAAGCACAAGATCACACTCTCTCCAGATGGTCTCTGTTATCTGGGGATCCTTCAGGAGAACTTGTCCCATAGCTCTGAGACTGGGTCCCCAAAGCCTTAAAAGAGCAGTGGAATTTGGAGTCCTCGGTCAGGAGAGCATCAGTTTGCAGGAGGCCACAGTCCCAGGACCTGGAAGAGCAGGCCAGGCCATGAAGGGCTCCCTTGATCACTAGTGCAATAGGCAATGGAGAGAAAAATAATAACTGTAATAATAACAACCACAATTATTGACAGCTGGCTATACACCAGGCATTGTGCTAATGCTTTATAGACACACTTTATCATCAGAATGTCCCTGGGAAAGTTTTATTATCTCAATTCTAGATACTAGGGAAACTGAGGCTCAGAGAGATTATATGTATGTTTTCACCCAAATCACAAATGGCAGAGCCAAAGTGAGTCTGATTCCAGAGACACTTGACCACTCTACCACAGAGAAGGAAGAAATGGATTGGATTTCTGAAGTGGGAACACTAATGGTTAAGGTATTTCATGATGAATTTTCCAGAAGTAAACAAACATATACAAGTATACACACACACACACACACACACACACACACACAACTTTCACATATAAGCACCCTCCATGTACTATCCCCATGTGAGCATGGATCCCTCTAGGTCAAGCATCTCTGGTACTCAGCTTTATGTTCTAAGCCCACCCCACCTGCTTATCCATCCTATCTACCCCTTTATCAGTCAAAGAGTACTGCCTGCCATTCCCCAAACGTGTTCTAGCCTCTCTTGCTTGGTGTCTTTGCTTATACCATTTCCTCAGACTTAATCCTCCTCATCATCTCTCATCTTGTCACTTTTAATTCCTCACATTCTTCAGGCCCAGCCAAAGTGTTGTATCCTTCAAGGACCCAGCTCTGACCTCAGCCCCAAGCACCATATTGGAGGCTCACACTGCAGGAAGTCCCCACAGACTGGTGCTGCTGTTATAGCCAGACCCCTGCAGTTTTGCACGAAGCTCCTCTGAGCACACCTACCCTGTCTGGGATGCAGACTCCTCCCTCATGCTCTGAGCCTGGTTTCTGCAGGATCCTCAGAGATGCTCTCTGTCCTGAATTGCTTCCTGGGATCCACTTGGGAGGAGACATGATGAACAAGACAGGACATCAGCTTTCCATCCATAGAATGGTACACTGGACATGGAAAGGGGAAGGAGACTATCTTCTAGAAGATCTGGCCACGAATGGAAAAGTCCTCCTGTTCCCATAGCCTGTAACCACCATCCCTCTCTATAGGGAACTGTCCTTCATTGTCTTTCCTTGACTGTGAAATTTCTCATGGTTCAACCCATTTCTCTCTCCTGGGTTCCAAGAATAATAAAGGGGCCACCCGGGAGCACGTTTCCCTGAAGCTGGATCAGGGATCAGTGCCAACAGTTTGTGGGGTTTCTGTCCAATGTTCACTTTCCTCTTCTTCAGAAGGTTGTGTTCTTAGTGGGCACAAGTCAGCCTGCAGCTTTCCCACGTCTCTGAATTTCAAATGGACTTAATTTGCTGTGTGGACAAAGACAAGCCCACAGGAATGTGGAAAAGACAGCAAAGGGGACAATGGGACACTCCTTGGCAATGAGATGCCAGGCTGGCTGTGATGACCTCTGGAGTTCCAAGATTTAATTACTGTATGTACAATAATAACTCATCTTTAAAGCAAAGGAAGCACAGGGTGACTTGCAGGTTTCTCTTTAATGCCAGCTGCTGAGCGCACACTCTGGTTTCCCCTGGCAGTCACTGGACCCATAATTAACCTCTTTATGACAGGTTGTGGCCTTCTGGAGTTGGTGGCCACCACCAAGTATCAGTTGATATCAGAGAAGGCTTTGGATCAGTCCCCTCCCTTAAGAGCCCAGCAGTCCATGTCCCGAGCTCCAAGAACTGAGCTCCCAAAACCCCAACCCTGGGAGAAGCCAGCATGGAGGAGGGCCAGAGAGTCTCCTTTCTGATTCTGACTGCACCCCTCTATGGAGCCTTCCATGTAAGACCTTTAAAAAGTCCCTGGATCATTCTAAGCTCAACTTCCTAACAGATAAATGGGCCCAATAATATCAAATTCAGAAGGATGCCTGGGGAATTAGATGAATTATGTATTGAAAAGCCCTCCCCAAAGTACAAGGAGCATTGTGTAAACAGTGCTCCCTTCTCCCCCAAGTGGAGAGAAGAGTATAGGGAGTCCTTGCTCAGGGTGAGGGGGACACTAACTAGAACAGGAGACGAGATATGAAATAAGTCCTGAGGAGAAAAGAGAAAGTTTTTGCCTAAAGGGGCACAGGTGGAAATGACAAATTAATAATAGTAGAATAAAACAAACAAACAAACATTTGTGGAGTTCTTAGCGCTAGGGAGAGCCCTAAATGCTTTCTGGTCCATTATCTCATTAGATCCTCCCAACAAGTCTTAGATGGGTACTATCATTATCCCTACTTAGCCTGTGAGAAAACTGAGACTCAGAAAGTTTATTCACCTATCCAACATCACGACATGAACTTGCTCTTGACTTTCGAGGGCCCCGCCCCCTTCAACACACGCGCACACGCTGGCCCCCCATACCGTGCACACATGCACAGGTAACTCCCAGGGCTTCCCAAACCCCAGGGTTGGGACCCAGGAGGGGGCCGGGTGTGTCCAGCCACACGCCCGGGATGGAGCCAATAACCCAGCGCTTCCCGGGCTGAGTCCCAGCAGAGGGGCGTAAGGGACCCGCCCGCGGTGCCCACAGTGCATGGCCCTCGGAGCTGACGAGGCGCTTCCCGGCCCCATAAAGCGCTGGCAGGAAGCGAAGGCCGTTTCATGTGGGCTGCCCGGCGGCCCGGCCCGCTTTGATTCCCGGCTCGGCGAGGCGCGAGGGCCGAGCCCTCCAAGCTCGTAAACGCCTGGGCGGCGAGCTCCCTCCCCGGGCCCGCGGGCCGCCATATAAGGCGCAGCGCGGGCTTCGGGGTCCAGCCTGCCCCTGCCCCTGCCACTGCACCATGTCCTGCCTCTCCGGCTTCAATGGCCCCTGCGGCGTCCGAGCCTTCAGCTGCGCCTCGGCCTGCGGGCCCCGGCCAGGCCGCTGCTGCATCACCGCCGCCCCCTACCGCGGCATCTCCTGCTACCGCGGCCTCACCGGAGGCTTCGGCAGCCGCAGCGTCTGCGGAGCCTTCCGCTCTGGCTCCTGCGGCCGCAGCTTTGGCTACCGCTCTGGCGGCGTGTGCGGACCCAGCCCACCCTGCATCACCTCCGTGTCCGTCAACGAGAGCCTGCTGGCGCCCCTCAACCTGGAGATCGACCCCAACGCGCAGTGCGTGAAGCACGAGGAGAAAGAGCAGATCAAGTGCCTCAACAGCAGGTTCGCTGCCTTCATCGACAAGGTGGGTGTCCTGGATGTTCTAGAAGGAGATGGGTTGCCCCAGGCCAGTCTTTATAGAAATGCAAAACGAGGACCGCTATTTTATGATAATTTTCGGGTGTCCAGACCCAAGATATTAAAAAACATTGAAACATCTGATGAGAAAATTCATGTCCTCTTTTCTTCTTTAAAAGTAGCTGGAGAGGACTGGGGTTGTGGCTCAGTGGTAGAGCGCTTGCCTAGCATGTGTGAGGCCCTGGGTTGGATTCTCAGCCCACATATAAATAAATAAAACAAAGGTCCATTGACAACCAAATAATATATTTTTTTAAAAAAGTAGCTGGAGAAA